CAGTAAATCGAATTCTGTAATTTATTTGACGTTATCGATATCGATATATTGAAAGCAGTTGGCAGCACTAGATCATATATTTCATTTTGGTAATACTTGAACGGTTTGCCAAAAACAGTTTTATATAATACAAATTGCATTCCGAATTTTTTTGTTCAAAAAATAAAGTAATCTTAAGGCATAGCATTTATCAGCAATTTTCAGTGTGCTCATAGTCTATCATTATGTGACCGCGTTCTCAAAGCACACCTACATCGTGAGAGCCTCGAAAATATGTACTAATATTTAATTACTTATTTATTAATAGTACACACATACAACTAGGTTTTGTTCTTATGAAAAATGCTTTAAAAATCCACCGGTTCCAGGTAGCCCGAGATGGTGCTCGAACCCACGCCCTATCGCTATCCGGGCGAGCAATCGCCCAGCATATATTCTTCATTAAATTTACCAGCATAATAACAGCAAAATTGATTAAATATGATAATTAGTCATCATCATCATCAGCCCTTTTACGTCCCCACTGCAGGGGCTCAAGGCCTTCCTTATGGATGGTTAATGAGGATGGGCCACACTGGCCCAATGCGGATTGGAGAGTATTAACGACTGCAAATGCAGCCGGGACCAACGCTTTAATGTGTCTTCCAAAGCACGAAGTAGCTCTAGATACTATATTTTGGTCACCCATCCCGTGAACGACCCTTGCGAAAGTTGCTTAACAACAACGATCGCGGGCCGCGGCGCTTATCCACTACACCACAGGGGCTACTGTACGGTAATTAGTATTTTGTTTAAATATTTGATTTCCAAAAAGCTTACATCACGAAAGAAGTTTGTGAGCTTCTTTCATATAGGTAGCGCAAATAGCGAAAGCTATTGTGTAAGAATCCCATTGCGTACTCCCGGAACTGCTAATTTATTTAAGAATTTTCCTTTCTTTACGATAAATATATAGGTAAATATGTATACCAAAATTGTGAATGCAAAATTCACCAAAAATATAATAACACCATATTATCTTAAAAAGTAAGAAAGATTCCTCTACAAACAGACGAAACGGATCTATTTCTATAAATTATAAGTCAAAGTCAAATAATCTATTTAAATAAACCTATTTAAAGTTCTGGGCGACTTTTGGCTGATAAATCAAACGAATAAAGATTTTCGCCGGCTCTATAAAAGTAATGACATTTACAAAATCTATTTTATTACCAAGATAATATGAAAACAACATAAATTCACAGAAAATATCACACAAGTTCATGTGTGTTACTTGTTTCTCCATTAGAACAATGAGGTCATAAGTTTATACTACGCAATGATTAAGTTAACCTCATAACTATAATTCCATTTTCCATTAGTGCGTTTCATAAAAAAAAACATATATAGTTTCAATTTAATATGACTCTACAGATACGTTTACATTTAATCACTTTTTAATGTGTTGCCCACTTTAATGTAACGAAGTTAAATATATTACGAATGGCGGGAGTGACAACGAACGTTAATCTAACTGAACGACCGGCGGTGACGTAGAATTGCGCTTGCGTCACTTTCAGAAACACGTACCGTTTTATTATAAAACGAGAACTTAGTACCAGATATAAACCTTACTCCGACCAAAATAAGTCAACACGATTCAATTTGAAGTTTTCTCTTCTGTCGTTGTTCATTTTAGGCGGTCAATTGCTTAAACCACGTACTAACTTAAGTCCTCGTTTATAATTAATCTAAAACGAACATTAACAAAGCCACCCGTTAATAGGGATGTTGACTAAAAATATAGATGATTAAACAAAAAATTACAGACAGAAAAAAATATTTTTGCGTAGTCAATAACTTACGTAGATATATTAAGTTGGAATGTCACATGACGTCACACCTTTGTAGATTTTCTACATAGTTGTGATTGTGGCGTAGAGTGCCTACGTCATAATCACAACTATACTCCTTAACTTCTGTTAACTTGAAACAAAACTATTATCTGACTAACGGACTGCATTGAATTACTTATTTTTACCTAGACATCATTCGTATTACGTTGGATAAAACTATAGTATACATTTTGAGATTACTAGTTAATTTACTACATTTTTTTCTCAAAATACTAGAGTTTAAACACTATTAGAATTGATTGACACAACATAAACCGCGTCATATTTCCCATTGTGGTCACAATTGTTATTTTAATTATATCACTCTCTATTTGATAAATTACTTATTCAATATAGAAGGGCGTACTACGAGGGTCAAACTGAAAGTTCTTAGAACTGGCCACTTATAAACAATATAATAAAAAAATAATTCTAAAATTTGAAAATATAACTCTTTGCCAATATTACTGAGTATATATTTCATTCATTTGTCATTTGTTTTACGATTTGGCGGCAAATTGAAAATTGTCTGTGTCACGTCATCATGAATTTAACACGAGAAAATTTTCGTGCAATGATTTTTTATGACTTTCGATGTCATTTAAGTCAACAAGAAAGTTATGATAGACTACGATTGGCCTTTCACGATGAAGCCCCATCTCGTGCGACTGTTTACAACTGGTTTAATGAGTTTAAACGTGGTCGCACTAATCTCACTGATGATTTACGTGAGGGACGGCCTTCTACGGCGACGACTGAAGATAACATCTGTGTTGTGCGGCGTATGATAGAGACTGACAAAAGAGTGACCTATCAACAGATTCGGACAAGCTTAGGCATCGGTATGAGTCAAGTGCACAAAATCCTCCACGAACATTTAGCGGTCAGGAAGCTTTGCGCCCGGTGGATACCTCATAATTTGACTGAGGCTCAAAAACTCCATCGTGTGGATTGGTGTCGTAAAATGATTGAAAGATTTAACGGAGGTGACTCAAATGCTGTGTTCGACATACTAACAGGTGACGAAAGCTGGATTTACTGTTATGATCCTAAAACCAAAAGACAATCTGCTCAGTGGGTGTTTCCTTTCGAGGAGTTGCCAACTAAAGTGAAGAGAGATCGAAGTGCGGGAAAAAAAATGGTGGCCTCGTTCTTTGGAAGGATAGGTCATTTTGCAACAATTGTGTTAGAGGATCAAAAAACAGTTTCTGCAGAATGGTACACTACCAATTGTTTGCCACTTGTCTTGGAAAAAGTTCGAGAGAAACGACCTCGCAGTAGGATCCTCCTTCACCACGACAACGCCTCGTCGCACACCGCCAAGCGAACGATCGACTATTTGGCGACATCAAACGTTGAATTACTGGGTCACCCGCCGTATAGCCCCGACCTCGCGCCTTGTGATTTTTATTTATTTCCAAAAATTAAAGAAAAACTTAAAGGAAAGCGGTTTATGAATGCTGAAGAAGCGGTGGCTGCGTATCGCGATGCCATTGAAGAGACCCCTAAGGACGAGTGGGCAAAGTGCTTTTCCCAGTGGTTCCATCGCATGCAGCGGTGTATTGACGTGAATGGACAATATTTTGAAAAGATATAATAAAACTAATAACTGGCTAATGTAATCAGTTTTTGATTTTCTAAGAACTTTCAGTTTGACCCTCGTATATGTTTAAATCCCTGGAAAATAGAAACAAATACAAGAAATATATGAGTCAGGCCAAAATTTAATTGCACGCTATGCGTACATGTAATATATAAATAGTATAAAAAGGCGCTTCCTGTCGCGCTGAGATCTTTACATCTACACAACGGATTTATATTTTTTATCAAAATACTGAGTGATTCAAGAGGAAGTTTTATATTTATAATACAGAAACACGCGAGCAAAGCCGCTGGCGAAAATCTAGTTACAATACATAAAATATTGAATAAGAAATTTTAATTTACAATCATTCACCATTACTCAATCACCTAAAAAGTGGTACCCCGATATGTCATCGTAACTAGTCGTACCAACCGCACATCCGGTAACGAGTGCATAAATTAAAAATGGAACGGAAAAAAAACACCAACTAACTAGATCGAGAGTAATTGATTAAATGTCCACCGTTATGCGATATCTTGATGTTGGTGTCGTAATCGATACATCCGACCGTACACAACCTTTGATCTCGGTCTAATGTTTGGGAGTTCTTATTTTGAATTTATAACTTTTTAAAATGTGAATTATGATTATGATCAAATGACTAACCGCGAATAGCAATGGAAGCGTACACATATGTATCGCTTTCTCTATTACTAGAGCAGAGTTTCGAAACCTTTTTTTCGACCCCTATCACCTCAAGCACGAGATCAAAGACTTTATTAAAAAAGCAATTAGAATTATATATTTTTATTACGAATAAACGAAAATATATTTTTGAAATGTTTGTTCTTTTCATACCAAAACACGTAAATCTTTGATATTTGAATTCTGATGGTACTATTAATTAGCTAAGGATTCTGCCTCCAGGGGTCTGCGATTGAAGAATGATGCTAGGGTTAAATTACATTAAAAGAGCCTCCACGACAACTAAGAATAGACAACGACAATCACAGTGTGATTTGTAACAGACCATCATAGATCATATCTATTTAATTATTGTTTAATTAACAACCAAATTATTGTAATTCTACGAACTCTTCCTCCTTTACATAAAAAAAAATATATATTTTAGAATGGTCACAGATTAAAATTCCAGAGCTTAAAAACATTTTCTAAAATTATTTATTATTAACAATATGAGGAACATTTATTTACCGATAACTAAACACAAATTAACAATCAATTGAAATGACGTTAATAAACTTAATTACACTTTAAATACGCTATAAAAGAAATAATTCTAATTTCAAGATCGCGTGTCTTCATAACACTATAAACAATGGAGAATAACAAAGCCGATTCAGGCTCTGACACTATTAATGTGCTTTGTCTTTCATTAACATCTACAGAATGAAAAGGATAGATTGTATTACCATTAATCAATTTCTTTATGACGTTTACATGATGCTAACAATGATAGAGCCACCTCTCGACGGGTATAGTTATGATTCGTTAATTGCTAAATTAACACTTAATTAACTATGCGTAAGTTTCCCGCCTGTCAGCCTACTCAAGCTATCAGTATGTGTAATGAGGTTTTTTATATATAAAAAGTAGTAATATAACTGCTAAGTTTAATTTTTATTGTTATCGCAAAAACATCAATTGACTCTTTTAATCATTATTTTTACATTATTACATATTTTTGTTTTTTTTTTTAATAAAAATATCTTGATTTGTTAACCGCTAAATATTGATTTAACTAGTTATTAAGAATTGTTTGAAACTAATTTTAGTTTGAATAACTACCGTTTTACCGTTTTTTATATTTTTAATTACTTAATTATATCTTCGACCACTTTTTTAAATTCTTTAATCTAATCGTCTGTCTATGCCATGCCGCCTTTACAATAACTCGAAGTAATTATGCCTTAGATATATTCGATAGCAATAAATATGAATTCAATAGTACTATAATATTTTCACTATTTAATTCAACAACTTGGCGTCATTATTAACATTTATCTGTCCTTCTCAAAATTCAATTAAAATAAAGGTTTTAACTTGCTATAAGGTTGTAGTAGTCTAAGAGGTGTGACAAAAATGTGCAAGGGGTTTCTAAAGCTTGACGATTAATAGTTAGTTCATAAAAACACTAAGATATTAATTTAGTAGAACAAATATTCAGCAATAGCTAGAAGTCTGTTCCGCGCCGCCAACACCAGGTGATCCGGCGCTTGACCTCCCCACCGTGTACTGAGTGATGTAAACCCTTAGTAGACATACGAAAAACAGCACAATACGCGGTCGTGTCATATTACTCGTTATGCATTACTCACAGTACTTACACATCTCTTATCCTTAGTTCTTCAACATACTGAAATATCAAGCTTTAAAAAGTTTTTGCACATTTTTGTCACGATCTCTCCGTCTATAAAACTATGTCCTGTTTTGTGTTTTCATCATCATCATCATTAGTCCTTTTACGTAACCACTGCAGGGGTGGTTAAGTGAGATGAAACATAACCCTCCATGTTGACCCAATACGGATTGGAGGGTGTTATCGACAGCAAATGTAGACGAGACTAACGTGCCTTCCGAAGCACATAGCAGCTCGAGATAGTTATTTTTTGGTCACCCATCCCGTAACCGACCTTCGAGAAAGTTGCTTAACAACAACGATCGCGGGCCGGAGCACTTATTCACTACGCCACCGAGCTATTTCGTGTGTTTTGTATTATTATGAATAAGATTATAAAAGGCGATCGTTGTGTGATGTCAGGAGCGGCTCGGCGGCGGCGGGCTGGGTCTCGGCGGCGGCGGGTTCCGCGGTGGAGCGCAGCCCTCGCTCGCCGACTTCCAGCCGCCGTACTTCCCGCCACCGTTCGCACCGGCGCCTCACCCCGCCAGTCCGCATCACCAACAACAGGTAATGCATCACCCAACGGGACCCAGGGTTGTTTTTGATAACGCAGGGGTAATGCACATTAAGCCTCAAATCAGTAGAGCGACCGCTTAACCCTCGAGCCATGATTTGAGCCATACGATGCGGTATCTTATCGATGTTATTCCAATATTTCGTTTCACTTTTCCTACTTTGACTTTAGTAACGACAAACGCAGGGTAAAGAATTATGATTATAGATTTTATAGCAGTGCTACCAACTTACAGTCAGTTGCATTAACGTCCATTACAATTGACATTAGTTTAAAACGACATTACCCATAGCAATTTGACAGTCACTAGAGCTTAAAGGCGTTATTAAACCTTAATGGACGTTTGTGCAACTAACCGAAAATCAGGTAAAAATTTGAACTTACATCTGAATATAGAGCACACTTCAAAAGACTTAAAAACTCCATTATTATGGATAAGGACCGCACTTTATCTGACTATCCTCATCAGCCTGCTAAGGTCCTACTGCTAGTACACAGACCTTTCTTATGGATGAAATCGACAATAAGCCATGACTCACCACCCGGACCCAGTGCGGATTGATATGTGTTAGCGACTGCAAATGCTCCCTGGCTTTACTACTATCTTAACGTGCCTTCTCGAAGCACAGAGCTCGAGGTAGTAGATGTTGAGCAACCTAACCTATCTATGACCGGCCATTTCGAAAGTTGCTTGTAACTAGGACGAATTAACATGACATCTGAGAACCTATTCCAATAGTCCTCGGACGAGAATTCGGAAAATATCTCATTGGCATTATAATTTTGTTAAAATTATGTCTGTGTAGATTATCTGTGCACCAGAGACAGTTTCAGGTCCGTCCTGAATTGTATAGTAAATCATCGAAAAATACGTTTCATTTGAGTCGTATTGGCATTTCTAAAATAGATGAAATTTCATTTTCGGTGATACATTATAGGCTTTAAGGTGTCATGTTAATTCCTGCGAGTAATAAACGGATGGTCCTCAAGTTGTAACGTTATTGCAGAGTCATGGCATGGAGTACGGCGGCGGCGGTGGGGGCGGTGCTGAGTACGCGCAGCACTACGCGCCCCAGCAGCTGCTGCCGCGCCACCACCACCACGAGCCGCACGCGCACCTGCGGCACCACCGCGACCACCACGACCCGATACATGCGCACCACGTGAGTACACACACGCGAACACACGACCGTGTGTTGACAAAACTACAACCTTTGGCATTGATCGATAGCTATTGCGCTGGTATTGACGGCTAGGGATCTCGAGGCCCGCCTTTATATATAAATAGATATGGACCCTGTTTGCTTAGGCCACGTTAAGTTACACCCTCTTACTAGAGATCTCACTAAAGAGAGCATCGTGATTTGCTAGAGATCTCACTCGAGAGAGCCCCACCATTTGCTAAAGATCTCTTTGTCGCTACTACTTCACACAGCGAGAAAACAACCGATAGTATAGTAGGAACAATATAAACATTGTCCACTACGACCATCAAGTCCCTTTGTCATATATGAGCTATATGATTCTTGGCAAAGGCCTAATCTAGAATTCTGTCTTCGATAAGTATCTCATCTAATATCAGTCGACAATACCGGTCGTATAATAGAAGAAAAAGAAATAAATATACCTGTGTGAGTGTCAACGTACAAGCCCAATAATTTATTTGGCGAGTGCCACTAAGGACTCTAAATTTAAACCGACTAGACTTAGGTATTTTCAAAAGTTTACTAAGTGAATCATTACCAGACTCAACTAAACTTAATACGTTTGTATTCTTTCAAATGTTACTTTATGAGTTTGTAACTTAAGAGGCGAAGATAATGTTTGTTAAGGGCACGATACTGACATATATTCAAGAAAGAAGTCCTAAAAAAAGATTAAATAAATATATTACGTTAGCAGTTATCAACTTATCAAACGATAACAATATCTATCATTAAATGACTACGAGCAAATTGAATGCTAAGGTTTAGTATTTCCTTGTAAAATAATCTTCAGTCTGAACAGGCCCAAATTTTACTTACTAAAGTGTTCGAGGCCATCTAAAAGTTCAAGACACCCCAATAAGTAGCGCTTTCATCAATTATAATATCACGTTAGCTCTGCCGCCTGACATACCTACCAATAACATAAATCGTTGAATGAATAATAGCTAGAGAATAGAGAGAGTATCAATGTTTTGATTATTTTGCATAGCACAATATACCTTAAAAGAAATGAGCTTTTGAGATAAAATAAGAGTATACAGTACTAAGCACATATATAAAAGAATTCCTTTGCTTTAAATTTTCCAAAAGCGTCCTACTATAAGCAATATGTTTTCTTTAAAAACACATTGCTTTCTAATACTATACTTAATCAAACTCAAGACGCATAACTGACCAATATAAATCAATCATTTTGATAGCTCATTATTTCAATTACAATGACGTTAACGCCTCATTTTAACCTTATTCGATCGGTGTAAATATAAAACACCTCTGCTCGCACGTGTAACGTTACTATAAAATATCGTAATTTCAAAAATAGAACGTCGAGTTTTATTATCCCTGGATGACATAATATTTTCGGTCAACAATGATGCACGCCCGTATTGAGCTCTACTTTAGAAGATTAGCCCCACTAATGTTCCGGCGCTGCCGGACTATCACAATGGCCGACGATTTTTGGCGGGAAACTTGATAACATTTCGTGATTGAATGGCGATTTAGGAAAGCAATAGTTATTTTACCCGGTTATTTCACTGTTACGAGTAATAATAACTATTATTGGCTCTTGATTTTTAAGTGTACCTAAAATTTCTCTTTGCTATGATTTTCCATTTACAAACTTATAAAATAAATAATTTTGAACACACATTATTATAGGTAACTGGAACAGTTCTATGTGTGTTTTATTTCATTTTGCCATGTAAAACAATATCAAAAATATCACTTAATTAAATGGTTACAAATAGTTTGTAACCAGAAAATGTCTGATGACATTTATAACCTAACCTATTCAAACATTGTTTATTGTTTAAAATTAAAAATTCTTGGTGGGACTCGAACTCACGACCTTTCGTAATCCGGGCGACTAACCTAACCACTGAGCTGGCCGAGACCCAAGAGAACTAAGGATTTTTTTAAGCTCTTTTTCCGTTTTTCAATACTAGTGAGTGTATTTTAATCAGTGTTCAGGCAATCCACTCAATCAGCCAAAAGAAATATTTTGAACTTTCGCTTACGATGAAAATTTTATAGAATTGTAATGACAAAATTGTTCAAATATAATATTTTTTTATTGTGTTAAAAATATTTGTTACATTACAGCAAGATAAAAACTAGTCCCTTCAGAGGCACACGCCACCTTAGAGGGTTCACGTTTTTATGAATTTAATTTGTACAGTTGTCGCACGGCGGATTCAGCTACGGCGGTGGTGACAGACGAGCTGACTACGGTGCGAGGGAGCAGCACGAGCTTGCGCTGCACCATGCGCTGCACTCAGCAGAGGAAGCGCCGGTAAATATTCCAAAATGAGCAACCTTCAGGTGCCTCATATAATGCGCGGCACATAAGTTGAACTAAAATGGTGACTGCACAGTAGCATATTTTCGGATCCAACCGAGGTGCAGAGGTGAGACGCAACGCTTCTACCGGCGGAACCAGCGCGGAAAATTGTCGTCATTTTGGTTCAATTTACGTGCCACATATTACCATATTTTTTGCGGTATCATGACGAATTATTAACGAATTTAAGTAACGAATAATCGATTACGCCCCATTAGCATGTTTGAGTATAAAATAATATTAAATATCGGCCTAATAGTTTTTGAGTTAATACATTATGGTGTAGTTACACTGGTCAATAACTTTCTCGTGCGCTTACGTTTCGCGTAACAGAACCATTCATTACAAGTTAAATAAAAAGCAAATCTTTCCACTGACCAAAACATGCACTATATTTCGTGGGGAAAAAAAAATAACTATGCATAACTAAAACTGTCTGTGTCCTGGATAAAAATGGCTACTTGAAAACCAGTTTTCCAATAGAGTTTTACGCACGTAAAACGCTAATGATATAGGTTCCATGTCTCTCTATTACTACCACATCAATAAACAGGACAAAGATATTAAAAAGCTATATATAAATATACTCGTAATAAAAAACACAACGCAACATCAATGTTCAGCCAATAATAAAAGGGATTGAACTATTAAAGTATTTCCGGCCAATATTCATTTTTGTGCCGCACAAAAATGCCAATTACGTATTAGACGTTGTTCAATATCTAAAGGAAAAATGCACGACGGTCAATAGGAATTTAATAATAGACAAAGTAAATTAAACGAGACGGGAAATAAGTACGCGATCTTGGCATTTTTTTAAATATTGGCAATTATAAAACAACCCGTGAGTTCTACCTACTTCATATGATAAGATATTCCTATACTCTTTGGATTGCGCGATTGCACATTAGCACAAAAAAGTATTATATCTCAACCTTTTTCGTGCTAATATTCTGTTCTTTATTTGAACTTTGAACTTATTAAAAATAATGATTATCTTTATTAAACTAAATATACAATTAATTAATTATGTGGAACTTTGAAATAACATTATTTTGTTCTAGAATGCTGCCATGGATGATACAACAGGGTTCATGACAGATCTTCCTTTATTAAAGAGTGAGTATAATTGCATTTCTATTTTACTAAACATTCAAGCTGAATCAAGATTAAGTTTTAGAAATTATTTTTCGGATACATACAAACTGACGGAAATCACACTTTATTAATAATATTTTTAATTAAAATTTATATTATTTAAATATTTGAGTTGTAGTATATTTGATAATAGACATACCTAAATGCACTATACCATAATTCAACCTACATTTATTAACACATCAAATGTTGTATTGTTGCTGCAACAACGATGGCCCGAAAGATAAAACTGTAATTAGGCCTCAATACCATACTTATCGGATGGGTGTATCGATTTTTCTAAGTAGAATGTAAAAAAATCTTCTCATTCACCGGCCGAATGAATCGATATCGGACAATTAAAAGTATCGATCAATCAATCGCTATTTGAATAGTGTATTTGGATTCGGAAATGAAACTTCAAATATGAATGTTGAACTTTTTTACAAACAGCTCTATAACAATAGAATGAATATCGTCTTGTTCTAATTTCAAAAATAATTGTAGTCCCCTAACACGGTGTACTGAATGTTGCTTGTATTCACTTGTATATTTCGAATTTCAAATTAGCCAAGCGTGGTTTTTTTTTTAAGAATGGCACAGAGGGTGTAAAATAACCAGTATGGTGCGAAGCTAATGACACAGTAACGTTTATTGTATTAGGGTTACCTTATACACATATTACATACTACAAAAGCGATCACGCTGAGTCCATGTTTGGGGCGTGACTCTGATTGTTAGGATTGCCATTGTTTGTATTTCGAAGCCGAGAATTTTGTAATCACCGGTTTTTTTTTTTTTTTTTGTAGCATGACAACCTCTGTACACGTTTGTGCCACGCTGCTATTTTATTTTAATAGAAAGTTGTAAGAAATAAAATAACGTTTGATCTAGTTTTGGTAAAACATTGTCGGTTATTTATAGATCCGCTTTCTGCTCGATATTTTAATAAAAAATAACATAAACTATTAGCTTATAACCAATTTAAAAGTGGAACATAATCCGTCCATTATTTCTATGAAATAGAAATAAATTACTTGTACTCGTCGATATTTTAGATTTTCGAGATCCAAAGTTTACAACATATAAATAAAGTCAAAGTACCATTCTGAACATCTTTTGATGGATAAGAATAACGAACCTGCCGATTGCTACGTCATAATTAGACTTTTAAATTTAATCCTGCACAGTACGGAAAATCTTTCCTAGACATTCTTATGGCAGCCCTATATTAAATACTAAAGGCGGAAACACATTTTCGTGTCATTTTGTGTTATGGACGACAGAAGCATATCGGTTTTATGCATTTACATAGTTTGATTAGAGACACATATTTATTTTGCGTTATGTCACTACAAAAAGTCGTTTACAAGTTGTACAAAATGTTACCCTATTAAACTTGACAGTTCCATTACTAAATACTAATGCACGCAACAACATACACAACACACAACTATGTTTACACCTTAATATTTGCGAATAAATGATTGTTTCTAAAAAAACGTTTTTTTTTAATAAATTAAATTTTCCCAGCTATGAAGGGTCGCGACGGTCTCGGCGGAGGTGGATCGTGCGCCCCCAACGACGTGTTCTGCTCTGTACCGGGACGGTTATCCCTCCTCTCGTCCACGTCCAAATACAAAGTGACCGTGGCGGAGGTACAGAGGCGGCTATCACCGCCAGAGTGTCTGAATGCGTCACTACTGGGAGGTGTATTAAGGAGGTTAGTTTGTGTTCTACTTTATTTTCTTTTTATTTTTCATTAACAGCCAGCACTGGCATTATTTGATGTGCGTTATTAAAAAAAAAAAAAAAAAATATGCGATATTCTCTGATAATTACAAATACAGAAAAAAACATTAGGGCTTGATTGCACCATAATAAGGTTTAAGACAAATTTGTCAATAACTGTCACGTTGACAATAACATTAACTGCGAAATGCGTTGCATCATCACTTTCTTGGCATAGTACAACAATGAATTAATCCAGCGAAACTTGGGCTGTTACAATTAACAGTTAAAGTTATGATATCATTGTCAAATGATTCAACTGATTATGAATTGGTACTTTATTAGTTCATTAATTCTGAAGTTACGTGCGTAAATTTTTTCGACGATTCATTTTTAATTATATGTATAGGTCACACTGGCTTTGCCCGTATTAGTTTTCTCCATGGCGCGGTAGTTAATGCGTTCGTTCTCTGATTCCGAATGTCAAATATTATTAAAAAGGCCTGTCATTGGATGGGTAACCGAAACCTTTCAAGCTCCTTGCTTCAAAAAGTATTTTTAACGATTGCTGCCGTCTGCTGCCGACATCCACCTAAAAACTCGATGAAGTGAGGTTTGGCTCATCTTAATATAAGTAAATGAAAGTTTTCGAGATGTCTCGATTCTTCAGCGAGTTTTGCATCACATAAGAATACGCTGATATTGGAGGCTGGAAAGTTCCTTAGCATACAATAGTGTTGTTATTAGGAAAATATTTGCTTTGCAGTTTATTAATAAACCCACTGCAGGAACCTTCCCCGTGAAAAAAAAACACAGGCATACTACGGATGCAGTCGGCACTTACGACTAAACATGCCTTATGAAGCACGGGGGAGCTCAATATAATCAATTTTCGGTCACCCATTCTATAAACCGGCCATTGCGAAAGTAATATCGTCCCCGCAATCGCAGATTGAATGCGCTATCAATTGCAACTTCGTGCTTTTATACTTCTTATATAAGTTGGTAAAGGAAAATCAATTCTCACAAATTTATAAGGAGTTCCATTTACATTCGGTATAGCCAGTCTCCAATACAAAGTTTTATAATGAATGGAAATCCAATTACGAACGAAACGAGGAGGCGTTTTTTATTCTGAAATTAATTTAATCTGTACAATAAAAATGAAACACTGTTCGTAAGCACATTTCTCGCAAACAGATGTAGAGATTTTACATTTTTATCAGTACTCTAGTGTAATAGTCTGGGGTGATGAGCTAGAGGAAAGATTTGATTGTTTTTTTTTTTTGTTTTTATCAAATAGAGACCTAGTCTACAGCGCGCTCAGTATGATAAACGAGAGAAAGCCTTTGTCTACCCAAATGAAACCAGAGAAAAGTGACATTTGGATGTAGACAAAATGCTATCGTGTCGCATTGCATCGTCATGCTCGGGGCCGATATAAAAAAATAATACTATCACCTAAGGGAAGAATATACGCCGATGGAATAGGCTATAATTTACGCGGGCTTAATCGCCGGAAAACAACTAATTGTTAAATATGCTGATAGACATAAAAGTTAAGTCACTTCTATTTAATAATATAGATTAATTCTTCTTATGTCTTGCTAAATAAACAGGTGACTAATTTATAAATGCCTTCTTTACTTTAAAAAAAAATACTTTTAAGACATCCGGCATGGTAGATTGTCTATTTTATTATCCACCAGCATATTTTGATTGGCAATTGAAATTCATCGCTGAAACCTTTAAAATAAAATTTTAATTGAAACTCTTCCATTTTTGAAATCTGTGAACATTGTCTCTACATGCTGACCAATGATGTATAATGCGCAAACTGTCAATTTAAAGCGACCGTGATGGATGTTGTGTTACACAATAAGACCCCTAGTCGTCGTTCCAATTTTAAAATAATTACAGGCTGCATACATAATACCTTTTAGTCAAATTACTCCGCCACCTACCGAACGAATTAACTGCCGTTTTACAAGTGGCCCACGTGAGTTTATTACATTTTTTGCGCTTGCAACACAGTGTACTGCGGCTGCGGTCACCGCTACAGATAATGTTTGACTACTGACGTTGTAGAAGGAAGGGCCGCCACAGCGATGCCTAAAGCGACTGTGTCGTTGTACTATATATAAAAAAATGCGAAGTTAACCACCTGAGTAACCTGATTGGTTCGTACGCCGTTTACCTTGTCCAGGGTTCGATTTCTGGTCGGGTCAATGTAGAAAATGAACTCTTCGACATTGTCTTGGATCCGTGTGTTGTGGTACCTTGTTTGTCTCTTGTCTTTAGCTACACAATTTGGAATACGAGCAACGTGTCTAATATTTATGTATAAAACGAAAAACAGTAAGCGTCACACGGAACGGGAGCAACAAGGGCGGTAGTAAATATCTATGTGATTTTCAATATCATCACCAATTCACCATCGTCAACCTATTTGTTACCCACCATTTTGAGGTCTTCACTTTGTATAGATTAACATAAGAAGAGTTATTGATAAATCGTGAGACGCATCTCTGTGGGGTCCCACTACACCAAAGTTACGATCGCTAGTTAGAAGTTCTTTTTTTATACCGTCCGTCGTGGTCAGAACCAACATGTTGGTGTATGTGCTATTCCAGTATTTATAAAACATAATTATTGGGTTTTGTTCAACGTGGTCTCGTTCTTTCGTAGGCTTTTGTATGCGACCGTTATATCGAAGCGTCACTACCGGTTTTTGCCGCAATTTTTGAAACACCTTTATCAATTAACAGTTCTATTGATGCTATCATTATAGAAAACGAGCTAGCCTTTATTATGTGTCTTAATTTTGAGACTTATTACTTGGACGCGTATATATCAAAATTGATGAAAACAATATGTAAAACCTTTTTTAACCTTAGATTTATGTTAGGGAATAACTTCAAAACTATTTTAGCTTAGAATTATAATTAACTAGATGTTTTACCGCGACTTCCGTGTAAATTATAACCTATTCCACCCGCGTATGATGTAGCTTCCCGTAGGTGAAATAATTTTTAATACCTATCGGTCGAGCCGTTTTAGAGTGCATTTACCTGTTGATTCCGGTCGTAGTTCTAGAACTTATTCAAAGAAAACAAGCAAATATAATATTTCCTCTTTATAACAACTTACTGTAAGCCCTTTTTTTGATATATGCACACAACATATATTGAGATTTTTTTTTAATTCTAATTTTTAGCGGCCTCCAAACATCATCTCAAACAATTCTGTCCAGTCCAACTGTGTTTAATTTATTAGCTGTGATAGACAGGCAGACAGACAACCGGGTAAATCCATAAGGGATCAGTTTCTCCTTTTGAGGTGTGAAACCTTAAAAGGACGTTTACTGTGCATAAAGCCTGGTAGAAATTGCTAAAGGTAGCTAACATTCTTGCTAAGGAGCAATAAGGCCGTCTTTTGCGTCTTTGTTACTTGTAATATGTGTTCAAACTTTTGTTACACATTCATTCATTCATAATTTCTACGACCTCACCGTAATGTAGATAAATCTTCTTCCGTAAAAAATAAAACCATAATTCTATTAAGTGAAACATAAAAAGGCAAATAATCCAATCGCTCAGCAAAGAACTCAAATTAATTATCATCTCTCGATATATATGTACAAATTTTTCTATATTTGACATATATCGATACGTCAAACCAATAAAGAAAAAGTGAAACAAACTGACAATACCACAAAAGTGGATAAATGACGATACGATATCTATAAGAAATTAATCATTCGTTAAATTTCTCAACCGGCATACCTATCTTTGTAACAAAAGAGCTAGTGTCAAAACATTCTTAATGTCATGGTTGTCACTCACTACCTGTCACTATTGCAGGTTAAGTTTACAGTAACAATAATATTTATTTTCTTAAAATAGGGTAGATATATACGCTAAAGATATATTTTCTTTATTCAATAAACATTTTTATTGATATATTGATCTAGATAACAATATCCTCATTAAGTTAATTTAAAACTTTATCAGGTACAAAGTATCTATACGTACATAATTTATTAGCGTATTTCTAATAGTTTTTTTTATATGCAAATATTATTACTTTATAATTTTGTATATTAAAGATGACAACCCTCGATGGTCCGTGACGCGGTACGATTTCGAAATTCAAAAAGTTATTGTGTCGTAAGTAGGGCCCGCCATTTCGATTTAATCAATCGCAGATTATTAATGGATACGCGGCTTTATGTGTAAAGGCTGCCATTCACGATACGACACAGATGCGGTAATTGGACCTGAACCGGCGTGGACTCCAATCAATATCATAATGCCTTTAGTTTCATATCATATAGTAGTTTTTGTTTAAGAATGTTTTTGTTTCTAGCGTGATTGTTGTGCCGTTTTGTGCTGAGTGCTCGTTAATTTTAGCAGATTATAAATTAGAAAACCGTTGACGTTTGTTCACATATGTCAACTTATTATGGTGAGTTATAGCCTTCTCGTGTTTTGGTTCTTTCTACGGAGAAATCCCAACGGAGAAGCCCCAACAATGGTTACATCGTAAGCAGATGATAATGGTACCGCAGAGTTAATTTTGTTTGCCGAAGTTTGAATAGTGTAAAATTGAATATAAATTAGGTATTGAATAATAATCGTATGCCTACACAAACCATCTTTGAATAAAAGATATGGCCTGATTATTTTTTTATTATACCGTTACAAAATATTCAAGTAAAATCACTGAAGTACCTAGATTCATACGATAAATTAACTTTCAGATTTATTATAACAGCAATAATAGTTTTACTATTTTATTTTACTAACCACATTGCAAAAGAAATTTCCCGCTAATTGCACTCTTATGGACATAATACTCATTAAAATACTTTCATGTATTTATAAGCAAGCCGCGATACCGTCATGCGATATGCAAGCATAATTGATTTTTCATTTAATAATAATCTCTTTGGTAATATTTTCACACGTCCAGTTAAACAAGCACAAAAGAATTTAAAAAAGAAGAATTGTAGAATCATGCACGCCGTATCTTACCTAACGAGCCAAACAAAGAATTCGAATTTCGAATCAATCGGAAACTAAATCGAATGAATCGACAGATCCGAGTGAGTGCTAATGAGTATCGGTGCCTGTATTGTATTCGAATCGATACATCACTGTGCGATTAAAGCAATTATCAAATAGCACACACGGTTTACAAATAACACCTAGAGGTCAACAGTAATAATGTAATTTATATTATTGCAGTACAACTACATACATATTATCTAAGTACATTCATAAAAAAAGTTTGAGCTTACTTTAAAAATATACAAACTTTTTGAGACTGATTTACTTATTTATTTTGTTATGAACAGTTAAATATACTATAGTAGCTTTCAGCCAGCGGCTTTGCTGGCGTGATCCTTTATTATACATATATCATTGAAATGAAATAAAATGAAAATGTTTTTATTCAAGTAAGCTTGTTACAAGCACTTTTGAATCGTCCAAAAATATTTTTTCCCCTACCACTTGTTCAGGACGTCTTTTAGCTGACAAGAAGAACAAGCGAAAGAAATTTACCAGCTTTTTATCATAAGTTTTTCTCTTGAATCACTTTGTATATTGATAAAACCACATTAAAATTCGTTGTGATTGTGCAATCTAAAAGATTTTAGCGTATAGCTGATCAGATAGAGGGAAACGACTTTATTTTGTACTATGTGTAGATAATTTTTATACGAAATTTGAAAATTTTTTGAAAGGTCTGTGAGCTATAGGATATACACACCTACATAATAAAATAAGGCTATTTTTTTAAATATATGAAACTGAAAGACTAATTTATATATACTAAAGAAAAAAGTCTAAGAAATCCCAGTCCCAAGTACTCACATTTCATCTCGGTATAGCATTGTGAATGCAAAATTAATCAAATGTAATGACTAATTTATTGGTTGATTAGTTTATATTAAAAGAATTTGAGCTATTGCATAATATTTTAAGATTATCTTGAAAAAAATACCTAACGGAAAGAGTAAAAATGTACCTGTTTACACTAGAAATATCCAACTACAGCTGCTCTAATATATATTCATGAATACTACTGAGTTTCCGAAAATCTTAATGAGGCTCGAATTTATATTTTTATAATTTTATTTTATTTTACATCCCTGCAAAGTTTTAAGGAACAACTTCTACATAAGTAGGTGTACATTAAATAGTAAACGTGTATTCTAAACTTTATAAAAGATTCCCTTTACAAAATATTAATAACACAAGCTTAAGTTTTTTTTTTGTATAGTATGGCAGGCACGGCTTGTGCATAAGCTTAAGTTATCTCTAAAACATTTTATAATTATGCCTTGTTAGATTCCCCTTGGAATGTATTCGCATACCAAAAGAGGGAGGCAAAGGCATAGAAACATGAAACCTAGAGACTAGTAATAGATAATAGAGTTAATCAAACTTTTTGGAAATATGAAGGGTTGGTATAAAGGAGGTTTGTTGGTATTCGTGAAACTATTTTATAATTTATTTGAACTACTAAACCTTGAAAACTTCATGGTGATTTTAACTTCATAAACCTACCATGAGTTGAGTGGGAGACTCCGAAGTCCCACATTCATATCTCAACCTATTAAAAAACCTTAAACTTAAAAAAAATGAATAAACTCAAACAAAAACAGAACGCTCCGGTAGAAGCTACGTCGAGTTGTAGCCACGTCAGTCATCCAAAACAAAACGAGAATCACCACTAGATTTATCAGTGAAAACTGTTAAAAATTCGTCTGATTCTTCAACAATCCAGGATGATATGATAGATTCAGTATCAATGGAAAATAAAACGTTTTAAAACTTCTGTAAGAGTCGTTTGAATTTCTTGAATATACATAGTCTTGCCATAAATATTGTTACGTAGAAAATCATCATTTTTTTATTTAACGTATCAATTATTATTATTACCGTGTGTTATACAGATTATTCAAAGTGGTCTCCATTGGCTGCAATACAGTCCTTTAAACGTTGAGACCAGTTATCAATAGACGGACGCACTCTTTTCATAGGAAAATTCTTAACTGCCAATCGTATGGATTGTTTAGGGACTCCAAATTATCATGGTGTTTAGAGCAAACCTTACTTTTTAAAACTGACCATAAATCGAAATCCATCTAGACTAGACGACGGCCAGTCTTGAGTTCGGAACGTTCGTTTCAAACCAATAGTGGGTTGATTTTTTTTTTATGACTTGTTGTTCTTGGTTATTGAACATGGTGTTGTCAAGGGGCTTTACTACATTCTCGAGAATTTTATCTTGATACACTTGTGACGATGTTTTGATGAATATTTCACAAAAATATAGCTCTGTCATTCCTTCATAGCTAACACCCCACCAAACCATCACTGAAATCGCATAATACCCACGTTGTACTCTGTTGACTAATCGTGAAGCATCTTTAGAACTGTGAGCATAAATGCGGTCATATTATTGCTCAATTGTGAATAACCTGTGACCTCCCTTTGCGTGCAGCTTAATAGTTGTTTCTATTTTACCACCATATTCTTTTTTAAATTATGTATGACCGGTGCAGCCTATAAGGGGGCTGCAAGTCCTAAGTCATCTTTTAGAATACGCGTCATTGTTCTAGATGGACAGAATTTCTTCAAATTCTTTCCATTTCTGCTTTGATCGGCTGTTTCGTACGAACGTTACGTGGACGGCCAGATCTTTTTCTGTTACAAACAGAGGAGGTTTCATTGCACCTATCAATAGTCCGCTACACAAACATTTGACTAATACCAAGCGTGTGGGGGGTTTTGAAAATTGTGTTTGGCTCCATACCTACTCTATGCATTGCAATCACAGCGACGCGGTTCTCTTTGTCACCCCACTCCATTTCAATATCACAAAATATTTTTTAATGTATTAACGCGAAAACAAGAAAAGACAATGAACAATCATATAAAAGTACAATTTTCGAAAACGTAAAACAAAATTCATAAGTAATATTATGTTTATTTTTTATTCTAATAGTATTTATGACAGTATAAATAAACGACCGCACTTTTCATCAAACTTCTTTGAATTGAAACCGGTTTTATAATTAAAAAAAAGTGTAAAATTTTATTCAATATGAAGGTGGTTTTGGTGCAGTTTTTGTTTTCCATATTTCACACACGTCAATTATTGACTCAATTATTTGTTTTTTATAAAGGTCGTGTGTATTCAAAAAAAGTTTAATGAAATTTCTTCGAAGTTAATTGAATAAAAGCATATCTGCACCTGTGTTCATCTCATAAGATGACAATAGTTTTTAGATAAAATAGTGTAATTTTAAGATTCTTAACATTAACCCAAATCGTTGTTCCAAAAATGTATTTAAGTACTACTTAACGACATAGTTAAAGCCCACCAAAAAGCCCGTCATATTCAATATAATTATTAGAGATGCACCACTATTCGATTTCCCGAATAACCGAATACCGCATCCTGAAAGTAGTTTGTTTAAAATCAGATTCTGATTCGAATTCAACAACTTCTTATATAGGTAACTTTTCTTTTGCTAAATTTAATCGGAATAAGTAAATTATGGTCACCTGTAACCATTACAGCCGTCATTAATAAAAAATAAACTTAAGGCTTTTTAAAATGCACTATATTCTTAAAAAATTCAATTCAATTTTTTATTTTATGATTATAAATGCATTTACTAACTGAGGTGAATAAGGATATGCGTTTTTTCTGTTACTAGTTGTATATTTATTTTTACTTATCTTTCATTTCTGATCTCTGTTATATTTTCATAGTGAGTATAGGTTATAAAATAAAAATATTTGCTTTATTTTATTAAACATTCCTCATAGGATTTCTTTTTTCAATAAGAAGTTTTATCTTTTAGTTCTATACCATGTCGTGTAGCCAAGAAAATAGACATACTCAAAACGAATATATTCGGCACCAAAACATAATAATAGGCCGAATACGAATAGTGAAAAGATGCCGAATACGCCCAATACCGAATACCAAACGAACATTCGGTGCATCTCTAATAATTATTAATCATACATCTTAACAGTAACAAGACATTCTCTCGCTCATCTTATCCGGGAGCCCTATCATCGAGATTTATCGAAAACAATTTTGTTAACGGGCATTATTATTTTTAACTCAATACTGGTAGCCAATTTTCGAACGAAACACATCCGATATTACTTACCAACAAGTTTCTAATACTATCCACAAAACATTATCTGATCTAATTCCAACTCTATTACATGGCGATACGCTTTGACCGGCTTTGACTGAACGGCGAGCATGAACGATTTTGAATTTCGAATAACTTTCTATATGTCAATCATGAATTACGATTCTGACGGTAATCGATAGGTTATCAGTGACTCCATCTAGCGGTCAGAAGCTGAACTACGACACGTCCGGATCACGTTCGTCGCAGCTAACGATCGCATTACTTCTTTTTTTCGTATTTCAAAAAGTTCAACGACTTGTATACAATGAATGGAAAAATACGCTCTGTCATTATGAAACTAGCGTTTTATATTGATTGCATCCCAATTTTGATTGTATTCTATGTCGAATCTAAAAAACCGTCAGTTATGGTGACCATTGCAGAAATAAAAATAGAGTATTAAAATTTATTATGATATGTTTAAACCTTATTTTTTTCTTTAGAGCAAAAAGCAAAAATGGCGGCCGCCTTCTTCGGGAGAAGTTAGAGAAGATAGGCCTCAATTTACCCGCGGGAAGAAGAAAAGCTGCCAACGTGACATTACTGACTTCATTAGTAGAAGGTAAGTTAACTTTACGACAGTAAAGTAATTTTATGACATAAAATATGAAATTGAAAATCTAAAAATAATTTTAATTTCATGTTTATGTCAGCGTTATATCCTCATTTATCGCTTCTTAAAAAATATATAGGGCTCTTGTGGTTTGCTTGGCTCATCTTGGCGGCCACTTCCGTAGCCCCGAATCGTATATAATAATAACAAAGTTCAATTATATTCCAATAAGATCTAATTAAGCGGTACTCCACAGCTGAAGCCGTACACTTGGCGAGGGACTTCGGTTACGTGTGCGAGACGGAGTTCCCTGCGCGTGCGCTGGCGGAGTACCTTGCGCGGCAGTACGCGGAACACGACGCTCGTAGACGCAGGGATCTGCTGCAAGCCACCAAACAGGTAATACTAATACTACCACAATGCAGATGGTCTAATACACTGTATGCTACCATATGTTCCTCGAACAGGCGAAATAATAGACAATTATTGCAATTTACATGAATAAATATATAACAATACATTAGGTGCACATATTATATGACCGTTGAAAATGAACGATACGTAATGGTATCCATAGAACTCTGTATTGTTTACGCGTATAAGTCACTGAATAAAATTTTAACATATGTCAGAGATAATTAAACTATTGGTGAAAATTACAGGTGACAAAGGAGCTGATGGATTTATTGAACCAGGACAGATCGCCGTTGTGCAATACACGGCCACCACATTTATTAGAGCCCGCGATACAGAGGCATCTGACACATTTCTCTCTCATATCGCACGGGTTCGGAGGTCCAGCTATAGTAGCTGCACTCACTGCCATACAAGTATGTAAAATACTAAACTATGTAATTATTATAATGATTATAATCTTACTCTTACGATAATTTATAATCTAACGACAAATCAGAATGAAAAATTTATCAATATATTTTTATATATTATGTCCCACGATATCTTAGTAACAGTATATCAATTTCGGGCTCTTTTAGTTGTTTTTGATAAATAAAAACTAAAGTCGACTTCATAACATCGAAAAATATTACTAAACAACTAGAAAAATAGTTAATAACATCAACAAGCTTTTGAAATATCAGCTCGCTATGCGTAATATTAAACGCTCTACTTTGCCAATAGTCCTTTGAGCTTGTTTGTTTCTTATTTAATTCTTAAGTGATTATTTTTCGATTTGTTAAAGTCGACTTAATTTTTTTATTTTAGTAATATCATCCTCTTATTTTATTTAAAAAAAAATGCCAAAACAAAATCTAATGAGGCCCATTTTTGTTCCAGAACTTCCTCAACGAGTCCCTCAAGCACTTAGACAAGCTTTATCCACAAAGTGGCATGGTATCCTCATCTATGGACAAAACAAAAATGGACCCAGACATTAAAAAGTAACAAAAGTATCACGACGAGGACGTCGGACTAAACACTCATATACGCACATACAAAAAACTGAATTTCAACTGTAGATTAAAGCTGTTTGATACTTTAATTAAAGTTTTTTGCGAATGAAGACTTTATTTAAACACAATAAGCTGTCTACATACTGCCAATATCAAGTGTTAAAATGTAAGATTGCGTATTTATTTTTATGAACGTCTGTGGCGACCCGCATACAAATAAAGTGCAATTATAATACTCAAGATTGTGAGAATATGTAAATATTTTTAGTATAGGATACAGTAGTATAATGAAAATAAGTGGTGCGTTACGGTTTAATTCGTTTTTTCGTTAATAGATGATGCTAGTATTATTTTAAGATTAAAACTGTAGCATTATCCTTTTATAATTAATTATATTTATTTCATTTAATCTTAATATTCTATAATCTTTCAATCGGTGTTAATAAATAGTAGGCAAAGAAATTTTTTTTATGGTCGTAGATAAAGAAAATAAAACATGATCAAAGTAGTACCAGCGCCATCTCTTGACGAGCGGAACGAATGAAACCGTGCTCGTTCCATCGTAAGCATTTTTAGTGTAACATAATTTTTGATTCGACTCATTTCTATAAGGTGGCAGATATTTTTTACTTTGATAATAACATAGAAGACGGCTCTCCACCGCAATAATTACACATATCAACATGTTAATTGTAAATATTATATTAGAATTTAAATTTGAAATGTCATGTTCCATTTTCATTTACATTACGAATAAATACAACGATTTAAAAGTCGAATCAAACTATATTTGTATTGGTAATTCCAAAATAAAACACTGAAAACGCCACTTGATAATTTTACACTACAACAGTTTGAATGGTTGGAATTATTTGTTTTAGTTTGCGTAATTTGTTTCCATAGCAGCAATTCCCGTGTATTTTAGCTTTCTAATGGTTACTATTTTTAATATTTTTCTTGGAAATTAAAAACTTATGGAAACCAAAAATCTTAGAGTTACGTACACTTATACATAAAATATCCAATACTGAAATCATATTTTTACACAATTGGTATGTACAGTGTTTTATTTTGGTACAGTCGATTTTCTATTAGAAAATATGATTATAATGAGTAATTTCTTTATAAATAATTACTCATTATAATCATATTTTCATGGAGTCTACAAAATTAAATAAAGATTATAATATTATATTGTAATGGAAAAATTAACTACATAATTTTGGAAAAAAGATACAAAAAAATTGATCTTCAGGTTTTCCGTTTACACATGGATGACTTTTATGATAAAAACTTTTGAAAAAACAATTGTCTATTTTGAATGATTCTCTGTAATTTAAACAGAAATATTTTTAAGTAAAATTATAATCTAAAATTATAAGTACTTTTGTTGAAATCTCTATGATCGCCATAGTGAGAATAAACATAATTTATAGTAGGAAATAGTTTTTTCAATAATGTCAATGATTTTTTTTTCTTGTTAAACTAGTCCTTTTCAAAAATACAAATGGAATTATTTTGAAAAAAGAAGTTCGAAAAAATAGTTTATTGTATTAAATTTTTCTTCAAAGGGGGAATGGAAAACAAAAGTCTTTGATTCATAAAAAAATAATAAGTTAACCCTTATAGTTTTAATTTTAAATTAGGATATAGTTTTGCTAGTAAATCAATGTGAAAGTGTGCCAATTAGTTTAAAATATTGGAAAATCATAAAATATTCCATTAAATAAGTAATTTAATATTTATTATTACGTCTCTGTGTATATATGAACAGGAATAAAACTGTCCTTGCCTGAAATTATTTTTGCTAAATAAAAAAAATCCTAATGATTATGAGTGAAATTTTATTCTTCACATCTCAAAAATACATTATTTTATTCCTAGGCATATCATTCCTAGGTATGTAACTTCTCTTAAATTGGAAAAACACTATTAAGTTATATTTACCCGCAAAAAAATTGAAAACCTATAGAAACCAATTGCTTTTAAAGTTTCATAGTATATAATTGAAAACATGAGCCTAAATCAGTGGTCAGCAACCTTTTAACACGCGATTGTCACAAGGTGGAAAAATAAATAAACAGACCGATCAAAATAAAAAACTCGCTCATTTAATAAAAACTAGCAAGTTAATTAAGCCAATTTTTACGTAATAATTGCATCTCAATATAATCTCATTAACTTGCATTTTACCGTTGTGCTATCTACCTGAAGTCTAATATTATTAGTGCAATGTTTACCTGTCATAAAGATGAAAGATTTCATTGTTTGTTTGCAACGAATAGGCTTCGAAACGACTGAACAGATTTTAAATATTACTTTCACCTAATGTAGCCTAATGTACTACTGTACGGTGTACGGTACTGTACGGTGAACATAAGCTATATTCCGAAATATAGCTTATGTTCACAACAGAAAGTAAGAAGCCGCTGGTGGAAAGCTAGTATATAATAATTGAACTTGGAAGTTTGCTCTATGGCAAAATGCAAGTAGATGAGAGTCTATTGAGATACGATGAAGTAAACATTAACAGAATTGACCTGCTGACCAAAGTTCTTGCAATATTTTTTCTGATGTTCCTGGTGACGTGATGTGATGCCATGAGCAATGCTTAGTTTCATTATAGGATAAACCAGCACTGTACATACCTACTAGGTACTTATGCAAATTCTTCAAGAAATCGTAAAGAACTGCTGAGACAAAATTTACTCAGACAACAAATTGAACAAGATGATGAATTTCAGAGAAATAGTTTTTGAGAGCATCGTTATGTTTATTATTTCTTTTTGATTATTATCAAAACTTTTCAAAGCTGACGTGCTGCAAAAAGGTTGCCGACCGCTGCTATAAAAGATTCCCTCATATTTTAATATGAGAATTACAATTTAAAGTAATACAGTAACCAATGATATTGTTATATCATTGGCGTTCCATTACAATATCATTATCTCTGTGATTTTTGTAAGTTCTCAAATATTTATTCTTCTTCCAATGTCATTTTTTTATATCTTGTCTACCAGTTTTATTTAACAAAAAAAATATTGATCAAGATGTCTAGAAACTTAATTGTTCTCATTGAAATAAAAACATTACTGACGGAATTTGAGTATTTGTTTTTTCATCAGAAATCTATTGAGAAATTAAACAATTTTACCAATTATATAACAATCGTGTTTTATTTTTTATAGTGTAATATGCGAATATTAAATAAGCGAATATGAAAATTTTGGGAACAGTTATTGGAAAAAGAGAGCCTCGCATATGAAACTTCGTCTACTTTTAGATTTAATCACACTATTTCAGTGGTAGTATATATACTATTTATGTTTACATTTCATCTCCCTACACGTAGCACATGAATTGAATTAAGGTGTAAAATGAAGTGGAGAAATTTCAGTTTTATATAACCTGAAGTAATGACTGTACGTTAATTAACCTATATCGATCGAAGCTATTTGCTTGATTCATTATTTTTATTCAGTTAATTTAAAAAGGTAAGTAATAAGTAATCATTCCTTTATGCATCTTTTATATATTTTTTTATTAGGAGTGATGCGCTAATAAAGGGATACCTCTAATATCACTAACTTTCAACTAGTTTGTATGTTGTACAAAGAAATAATGTCCAAATAAGATATCCCTCTAAAATACACAACTTTTTCATTTTTCGTTTTTATTATAACATTGGTTTAATAACACATGTTGACTTTCTGCAACTACTGTCACAATTGATATAAATCGTCTTGCTACCTGACACTAGATGGTGTTGTTAACAGTATTTGTTCTAGGTAATGAGGAAGTATTTAAAAAAAATTAGTTCCCGAAATCAAACTATATGGTGCGACGGTACATTCTTGATCTCTCCATGACAACCTTTCCGGTTTTGTTTCATGTTCAAAGTTTTCAAAACTCAATAAACAACTCATATTCTATTTCTACTTTTTCGTATTTGTATTGATTTCTAAGTTTCGAATTTTCCAAATTTCAGTTTTTTAATATGTTAGTTAAAGGGAACGGAAATAATTGTCTTTGATCCATTATTTTCCTGCAAAAATCAACTTTTGCTAGGGTCGCCATCTAGTGGAGGAGCTTTTTAGTGCTTACTTTTTTTTAATACTTCCTCATTACTTACGAAAATGTTATAATTTATGCAAATGTTTATAACAAATAGACGAGAATTGGAGTGAAGTAAGAACTATCAAGAGCTACTATAATAATAATATTCTAACTTTTGAGAGTTCTTACTTCCTTCCAATTCTTATTTATTTGTTAAAAATATTTGGATAAGTTATGAAATTTTCTCAAGAAATTACTTCTCTCGACTATGATAATAATAATCGCGACAAATATGTGTAAGAGCTTTTTAAAACTAAATATTTTAGTATGTTGCAGTAATAAATACATCACAACATAAATAAGGGACTCTCTTTTCTCAATATAAATAATAAAATCATCATGCAAAACATGAAAATTATCCCAACATAGATTTAAAACTTGTAATTCTATAGTTCCCCAAGAATGTTAAATATATACTCCGTTTCATTTAATGTGGCATAAAATTTAAACAAATATAGCGACATGACAGTTTTAGTGATGGGACATATTATTATGAATTTGATTAATTGAACTATATTATTCATGTCATTCAGTGTCTGACTTTTTCCATAATATTTGTCTCAAATTAATATAAGTATTGTCAGAGTAGTATAATATATAAAAGATATTAAAAAATGCGTATATTATCATGACAACCGAACAAATTTAATAAATTAAATACTACATATTAATTTAAAGCAACAATTTATGGGAAATAAACACCTTCTGGTGAATATTAAGTTTATTTACTTCGTCGTTTGATCTGTTTCACAGTAAACAGAAAATTTAGAGTTTAAATTTGCCTTAAATGATGTGACACAAATTTTGAACAATGAAGTACTATAGAGCGTTTGAATCTTTTTGTTTGCTGATGAAATATTGCTTAAAAATATTACTCCTTAATACATGGCATTTATATACACTGAAATTGACATTCTAGTCGTTCTTTCTGACTTTTAAATATAACAAAATGAAGTTTCCTTATTATTATGAAGTTTCCTTAGTAAAGCTATTACTACAAAGAAATATTTCCTAAGACGTGGCTGTATGAACTAGATTCTCTTTTTCCTAAATAAACAAGTTTAAAGCGAAGGTATGCCTGAAGACTTGCTTGCGAGCATGCCAGTCTAGTGAATTCCTCGCTTTAGGGATACCATCATATCTAGAACATCGGTATAATCGAAAAAAATGACTATTGAAAATCTATTTTCATGATTATTTAATATAAGAAAAACTAACTTACGCTTGAAAAGAAAAACTCATCACGCGCGTTCTTTTAATTGACAGCTTTACAGCTCAGATCAGCTTTCAGTTAAAATATTTTAATTAAAAGAATTGAAATACTGACAAGAAGCTTAAAAAACGTAAAAAATATAAATGATCGTTTACGATCTATGAAATTTGATCTGTTTTCTTTTATTTACAAATAAAACGTCTCTGTTCACATTTTGATACTTCTTTGAGTTTATGGAGTCTTTCAAAAATATCTACACCTCTTTTAGGTATTATTTTACTTTGAGCTATTATATTACCTAATCATTTACACAACACCTACACTGTGTTACACAACACATTCTCTGCATATCAAAACTGACAAAAGTATTTTAGCAAAGGGAAACAAATGTTTTGAAATATTTTGAATAATTAATGAAAAAGTTATCAAATTCTTTAAATATATATAAATATAATATAATATATTAGATAATAATAATAAATAAAACAATAATTGACTTTCTTTTCTGGAAAACAAATTAAAATCGATTCAATTGCGATAACTCAAAAACTATTTTCAATTAAATAGATCGCATCCCTAGTTTGTTTGTGAAATCTTCCGCTACCGCCTTTTGAAATGTCGTTTACAAGTGCGCCGAAATAAAGTAGTTCTAAAAACTAAATATCCGTTTAAAATAGTTTTACATTAAACAATGGAAGTTGCCGAGGAACAAGAAATATATAAAAAGTGTTATCAATTAGGGCTTCAGTTGTTTGATAGTTTGAATATTTATTATAATGTATCCAATTCGTTGATAGTGCTATGGAACAAGTTTCAAATATTCGTGTACGAGGACTTGAACTTCGAGAACAGCTCGAAAATATTCACACCAGAGTTTCAAGTGGATCAACTGATTTTGTCCAACAATTATTTAATATGTTTAGACAGCAGCGGCAACGTTCACACGACGTCTTTGAAATTTAAAAATCCAGCTCAAAAACGTTTCAAAAGCAGCTTTTTACCTAGATCACAAGGTGTGCTACTATTAAATGCTCAAATTCAAGATAGTATAATAAGTATTAAACACGAAAACGACCACTACTATTTGTACTTGAACAAAATAAACTCTGATTTTCAATTGGAAAATAAAATGCAGTTAAAGTACGACGGCCGCTGGCCCCTACCCGCGCCTATGCAAAACAAATGTCTTTTAACATCTTACAGATTAACAACAACAGAACTAAATTACATTATGAAAATATTTAATTGTAAAGAAACTAATATGAGTGATTGTCATTTGCTTGTCTTGTCATTTGATAAATTAACATTATATGCTTGTTTATTTAATCAGAAAAGAGGAGTTAATAGTGCTAATCTTGTTAAACTTTATACCTGTCCATCAGAAATATGTAATATTGAAGTAGTGGATAACAATGGCTTGAATATCTATATAGGTCTGAAAATTGGCACATTTATAAGATTATTTCTAAATAATGTTCTAAGAAAACCAGATATTATACATTTAAACACAGCTCTCCATAAATATGCAACTATCAAAGACACAATTATCTATACCGATGGAAGATCTATGTGGAAAACGGAGAATTTGTTTGATGAAAATATATCTTTCACTCGATGTTTTGTGAGACAAGTAAAAGATTTTGTGAGATTCGGTGATCAAATAATCTGTACATCATATACGACAATGTTGTATATTTTCCCTATGGATGATCATAACTCATTTTTGAAACAAGAAACAACTGAAGAGTACTGCTCCGCTGAGAAATTAATAAATAATTCAGAATATTTATACAAAATCATGGAAGAAGTAGAAAAGAATAATGAACTAACTAAAAAAATTAACAATGAAGGTAATTATATAACGACATTGTCAATGTCAAAAAGGCAAGATGTCATGGATAACATTTTACAGCACACTGTTAAAGTATATGAAAGTTATGAAGATGTAACAAAAGAAAATTCAGACATAAAATTAACAGAAAATTTATTTGAATATTTTAAGCCTAATTCATTTTATTTTTTAATCACACTCACTACTGGTTCTATGCAGCATGTATTAAATAATATCTTATCTAATATATTGAACAAAGTAAAAATTCATATAACATTATCAACAGATTTGAAATTACTGAAAACTACTAGTGTGGAAATGGTTGAAACTTTTAAGAAATTGAAGGTGTTGTTGCCCTTTGATAACAAAGATGACAATGTTACTGAGATAATTCTAAATCTTAAATTGGTATCGAGTATCCCAGGAGCCTTTGATGAGAGACAAAAACTGTGGGCTACTCTTTTTAGGAAGTGTGTAGTTTTGAAATCAGAACATTTCATAAAACCCAACATTGCTATTAAGAGCTGTCTGATTTTAAAAGAACAACCGGAACCTTTATCCGATACAATATATAAATTAGCTGTTGACCAATATGGCAGTTTATTTAATATTACAGATATCTCAAAGTATCATTCTAATTCAAAACAATTCTCTGTGTATGGTAGACTACCGAATGATTATGAAAACATATTTAAAGATGAGTCTTTATTGAATCGTTTAGAATATTTAACCAAAAAGAAGGCCACATATGTTTTGGAACAAATCAGATCTGAAGAATTTCTTAAATCCAAAAGTAATATATGTTTTCAAGTCGGTAATACTAATGTTACGATTGAGATTATTAATGATGATTTTACCAATCCACTACTGCAAGTGACCAGCATGAACATGCTTATTGCATTTAATATAAGAAACTTTATAACAAATTTAATATACAATGAGGCAGCAATGGGTACTGGTTATGGAAACATTAAGCATGTCTTATACAACACTACAGAGGTAAATATATATTTTTTTATTATTAAAACTTTGTAATGGGATTATCGAATAATCTTTAAATATTAGACAATACACATACTTTGCTCAGATCCCAAACAGTACCTACCTAAAACCGTTGCACTATGGACATCTGAAAAAATGTAAATATGATGCAAGTTCAAGCAAAACGGCCCTTTCAGTACACAATGTTCAATCCCAAAATGTTTGAAAGGCTACAAAATATGAAATTCCCAAAATGTCCAGTACCCAAAAATCCAATTGTTTGTTTGATTTGTTAAATATACTATCAGCCAGTTGCACAAATGTGAATTAAAATTGACATTAGTTTATAGCGACATTACCCATACATATTTGATATTCATTAAAATTAAAGCTGTCTTTAAAACTTAATGGACGTTTGTGCAACTGGCTGTACACATATTAAGTATCAAACTAGTAGAATAAAATATTAAACGTTAAAAACCTTGCTAAATATTATTCATCTGTGTATTCCACAAATATATCATGATAATAGATTGGGCTTTTTGAAACTGTTGGACATTCTGAACTGAAAGAAAAATGGCGAGTAGAGTACGCAGCGCGTAACCACAGCAACGCAATATACCGGGAAACTGAACGTGCGTGGACATTTCTTTTGCCATTTCGGTTTAACATGCATGCATCATACCAAGATACGATAAAATACTGAAAATTTCATTTTCTACAATGAGTTCGCCCACCAGTAACGAACTAAGGGCGGGCCTCCGGTCCTGGGGGCCTCCAAATGCCTGCAAGTTGCCTTGATGAAATCGTAAATTGGTTTACATTTTTTTAAATAAAAATTTTACTGTTTTATCTTTCAGTTTCATTGCTTTTGTTTACTTTCATTAACTTTTAACCCTACAAGGCTCAATTTTTTTTTTGGTTGTGGAAAAAATATATATGATGTAATTAGCTGTTAGTAGTTAGAAAAAAATATATAAAAAAATAATAATCCAATATTTTACAAGAAAATCATTTTTTTCTTTCAGTTCCATATATGGTACACTGAGCCTTAACTATACTATTTCGTACTGAACTACAATAAACGTAGTAATAAGGAAACAGTATCTTATAATAATTATCACGAGCTTATTTTTATTTTATAATTATCGACATAATAAAGACTTTCATTACAAAGTCTGAAACAAAATGAAATAAGAAACAATTATGTTTAAAAAAGCTACTTATGAAAGTTTCAGAAACAATTATTATCTTTATCCAGGCAAAGTTCTGCGTGACAAATTCTCACAAGAAATGAAGTCTTCCTTTGCAACCAGGCTATTTATGTATATCTTTGTCTTTTTTCACCCCAGACCGGGAAAAGCTCAAACCTTTCACGTCTGACGTCACGAGGAGGTAGGATTGCAGTATTGGGCTTCTTTCTTTTCTTCTCAATTTCTTCAGATGCAGAAGCCCAAACATACATAAACTTTTGCCTACCTCAAATTTAAACTTCTTATGTTTTAGTGGAACTCGCATATTATTCTGTTCCCCAACTCTTTTGTACAATAACCAGCTATTGATCAAAGAAATATCAAGAAGATGATATAATAGTCTCAACCACAAAAAAAATCGAAGGGGTGTTTCAAAGTGTATAATTGGTGAATGTAAACTTGTGTCTTCAGTAAACGGAAAATGAGGCAAATGAAAATTTATTTTTCTCCAAAAGAATCTCCTTTTATTCTTATGGCAGCAGACGTAGAACCAAGTGTTTTAGTTGATGATCCCCTAAATGCCCGTAATTGTGTTATGGTACTTGTAGTTGTCCCTGATGGTCTGGCTGCAGGTCTAATATTTCAGGCCTTCACAACATGAATATCCTCGTTGGCAGGAGACAAAGATAGTCTTTGCAGCGGCAATGAAGTTTCCTTGTCGCTAAGAGATTTCGATATCAGCTTTTGGTATAACTGTAACTTCCAGCGTTAGAAAATCCTCCTCATGTTCACTCCCAGAAGGGATATTCAAGAAATCTTCAATTTCGTCACTACACAATCCTCTTCGCGACATAATCTATAAAAGACAACAAAATAATAGTAATTATTTGGCGTAAGTACGAAATAGTAAAACGAGCACGAAAGCTCAACGTACCGTATCTGGCACATAGATAAAATGACGATTTCTAATACTATTACTACAGTAATATAAAAAAATAACTTACCTCTGCATAATATACACTCCCTTATTTCTCCCTTAATTTTTTTGGACTCAGAACTATGCGATTACTATTTTTTAGAAATTGGTGAAATCACGAGAGTTGTTAACGTAAAACTTTTACTCAATTTTTTTGCCAAACTATCTAAACAGGAAGCAGTGGCAACATATATGCGCAATGCTTTGTATTATTTTGTTGCTATTCAACGATTTTGTTCGGATTGATAATAGATGTCGCTGAACGTTTTTCATCGCTGTAAGGACGATATAAATGGTTGTCCCACATATGGTACTGGGGGCCTTGTAGGGTTAAATACTATAGCCATCCGCCAAAATCATAATATTATTGATATAATGTATGAAGTTAAAATGTGTGCGGGAGGGGTTGTTAACGCAATATTTTCTGCCCACGAAACTATACACGTGGGGGGCGAGATACTATCCAAAACTGGCTATTATAAATGACTCAATTTCACATTCGAACTGATGATTCGGTATGAATTGATTCAAAAAATTGTTAAAACCTGTACCTTTCGCAACTAATTTGTAGAATCATTTCAAATTTTATGAACAGGTTGAATTTAAAATAGAATTTTCTATAATTAACCAGCTGTAACCTCATATTATCATGGAAAATGGCACGTCAAAAAGTAGCTAAAAGCGTCACGTGATTAATGGTCCTCTTGACTATAGCAATAAATTAATTTTAAATATTGATTCGCTTTTATAAAATTATATGCCGATAATTTCGACACTTGCAAGAAACAACTCAATTTTAGACGTTGTACAGAAGGGCAAAGATACATGGATGATAAAGATTTTAAAAAATCCTACCAATTTTGGTTAAGTCCTAATGCCACCCGACCTTGAAATTGTGTTGTAGGACCTATACTAATAGGTTGGGGAAAAAGTTTCTTCGCATTATATAATTTAATACATTTTTAATTAAATTTATTTACATTTAACATCTTGTACGTAGGGACATGTTCTCATTGCTAAAGAAATTTTAGGGCTTCTGATCAAAAAACCGCAATAGTTTTGGCATTTCTTGCGTGATGTTAACCTGACACTGCTTAAAGAATTCGGAAGAGACGAGAAAACAGGTGGATATCTGAATCTTACTTACTCACGTGATTGATTTTTATCAAGCTTCTTAGTGAGTGGGTTCATGATGACTGGTAATAAAAAGTTTGTACAAGTGTGAGTGCAGCTGCTACACTGCATACTTTTTTATCTATCAGTACATTTAGGACTTCTCCTGTGCCAATATTTGTGATTTTCCAGCCCTTTGGAAACCAAAGTGCTGAATATATCGTTGGACCAGGCACTTTGCAAACGTAAAAGCGCAGACTTAGTAGCCAGCATAAGATCTTTAAACCGTACAATTGAGTATTCTACTCCATTTATAATAATACTTGTAAATGTTATATTTTAACTTTAAAAAGCCATAAAAAAAATATTTCGGAAAAAAACTACGTTTTCTTGCTTTAAAATTAAATAAAAATAAAAAAAATAAACAAATTGAAGACACTAAACAATAAATAAATAAATATTCGTTGCGTTCATTTATTGAATGAAAAAAGTATTCACTAGCGCCAACAGATGGCGTTAGTGCATATACTCCTGCTGACAGAATGCCCCTCCCCCTACAGAGCAAGCATAGTTCACTTATACGCCAATAGATGGCGTTAGTGCATATACTCCTGCTCACAGAATGACCCCCCTGTAGAACGAAAACATAGACGTATCCACGTCAAAAATCAAAATTTAAACTTTTTTTGATACCCGCCAAAACACCATCGCCATCTAGTAATTTGATTTATAATTAAACCTTATATTTTTATGTCTAATCTGACAGATGTCAACAGAGTGACGTCACACAATGGAGGGACGTGTATTAAGTCACGTAACACAAAAAATCACGATTTTTAAATTTTAAGACCATAAGATAGTCGTGCGATTTTAAGACTCGAAATCGGAATCTCAATGTTTATAACTATATAAAATTTTAGTTTTTGTGCAATTTCGTGACTTATTTTTCCTTACCGAAACTACCTTGTTAACTCCCACTTACAATGTTTTACGTCTACGCAAAATTAAATCTATACACAACATAGATATGGGGATAAGTTTAAAATATTCCGCATTTTTTGTAATCTAGTAAATCTTACTTTTACTCAATATCGGCAAAAAGTGAGTTACGATGTTTTCGTTGCAGGTGTCGATTTGATCGTTCTGGTAAAAAATACAATACCCGAACAAACGTTCTTAAACGCTCTCTGCTCGCTCTTCGATTTTAACTTTGATTTAAATTCTAAAGTGACTAAAATACGGCCAGTTGCACAAACGTCCATTAAGGTTTAATGACGCCTTTAAGTTCTAATTAATGTCAAACTTGTATGGGTAATGTCGCTTTAAACTAATGGAAGATTTAATGGACGTTTGCGCAACTGGCTGTTAATCCGATACGTTAAAGCATATGTATTAAACAAGTCTCAACTTGTTCAATAAATACCTATTTCATAATTTATGTAAACCCATTTTATAGCATACAACTTATTTCTAATTTTTGTTACAGAATACGCTTAGAGAAATCAAGCTTGCATTACTGAATCAATGTAATCATGAAGAATTTCAACCATTAACTGATAAATTTCAAAAAGATGTGATTGGTGCTCTGCCCATATAGAAATCAGTTTCCTATACATACTCAAATGTCATTTACCTGATGAAAAAAATGTGATAAGTGAAAAGTATTTTAAATTTTTTATCTAAATTAAGTAATAAATTTTTATTTCTATTTTTTAAGTTGTATTTTTTGTAAGCAACCTTATTATTTATAGTTAACCCGTTAAGATGCTTAAAACAATTTATCTGTACGTCAAATAAATCCTTTTTAGAATTCTGTAAAATGTGTGTATGTATAAAACTGTCAATAGAAAAATCTAAGGTCTAGGTCGAATATCCCCTAAATTACTAATGGCCGCCATTTTGGTGACGTTATTGCGTTCAACAATCAGTACCGTTAACAAATAAACACTGGTTAACGATTACACTTATTGAGTTTGGGTTGTGTTTAGATCACACATCCTAGTTATGTTTTTATTGGTTTCGATTGTTACTTGTCATGTTTGACTAAAATAACAAATGCTAATAGAATTGTCACAATTAATAAACATAATGTCACTAATAATTAAATATTTAATCTCTCATTTCATTATTACTTTTGGTTCATCACAGTGTTGTTTTTTTTATTTTCCATATACCCCAATAGTTACATATAAATTGATTCTTTTCCAAAAATTCATGCAATAATTAACAAAGTTAAAAGTTATTATTACAATATTTTAGGTATTACTTATAAATATTTCAATATTAATTAACTCTTGCCTTTTGTGCTATCTATACTTTCTATTTTCATATGACGTCGTGCGAGAGGTTCCCGCGCATACAATAATTGCTCAAATATTCGCGCCAGGCGCTTAACTTACATAGTAGTCATCGTGGAACAAACTTATTTAATACTTTAAAAGCTCCTTATTCACGGCTTTATCGCGGGTGAAAAATAGTAACCTAATTTCTGTACACGCGGCTAAAATCTGTTAATTCGCGGATGCAATCATTCAGCGTCGTTTATAAACGCATAGTCATCTTTTAAATACTTTGGACATCGTCAAGGTGACTTTAAAACACCTTGTAAATATTGCTTCGTTATAGTAAGCTCTAAGAATGCTACAGCTACTTATTCATGAATTTGAAATTACAAGAAAAGTATAATTAATAAAATATTTAAAAACTCTTATTTAAAGTCGACAATAAAGATTAGATTTCAATTTATAGTTCCTCAAAATCATACCTCAATTGTATTTATTCTAACATACATGTTTTGCAACCTTGAAACATATACCTAGAACCCTATAATTCTAATCTAAATGCCATCCTGAACTCTTATTTCTGTATTCACTTCTACTGTAGTAACTTTTTGTATTAAATAAAACTCAGTATAGTAATTAAATCTATTTATTAATTAGACCATTCTTCTGAGGAGCTCATTGATCTTATCCTCGCGGTTACCGAAGTCACCGCCGTCCACGTAATGGATGGTCTTCTTGCGCCAACCACCGGTAGGGTTGTTCAACTTGAAGGGCCATAGGAAGTTGCTCGCGTACTAGAAACAATATAATATCAGTGGCTATTAAATTATCACACACTCCTCTAAATTTAGTTTTAAACCTGTTAACCTTCGTTGTTAATTCTTTAATCAATAACTATAAAGCAGAAGTAAATTTACTACTATAATATAGACAATACAAAAAAAAAATTTTTTTTTTCAGGGAAACGCGCATGTTTTAACATATTTTTGTTGGATTTGATGTCCGGCAACACTCATATGGATACAGATCTCTAACAACTGACGAGACTAGAAAGTGTCAAATGTCTGAAAAAAACAATGTCCAAAATATGTAATGGAAATGAAAGTAATGGTCTCACTCATAGTCAAAGTAAAAGTATGCTAATCTCACTAGAGCTATTTATTACATGCACAAACATCACATCAATACTTTATATTTCATGTCATATTGGATCCTTAACAGGTTTTAGTATTCCTTTACAAATTTTCATATTAGCGATGATGATTGGGTAAAAAGAGGAAATTCTGTTTAGTTCGTCAGTCCGATAAGAGAAAAATATTAGATACATATTTATTTGCTTCAATTTAAACAAAAATGGCTTAGATAATTGGCATTCAAGTTGAGGAGTGGGGGGCTCGCTACGTCAGTTTTGTAGAAATTGTAGTATAAAAGCGTGACGTCATGCGACATTTCAACACAATATATCGCCGAATTTAATAAAAAAAAAATACGTATTTTATATTCTTCATTGATCTACCAGACAGGCAAACAAACAAATCGTCTCTATTAAATGTATAGCTACCTTCAAACAATACATATTGAATAATTTACTCCACAATACGATGTTAGTCGGTTCTAAAGAATCGATATCAAAATACTTGGTATTGAATGAAATGTATAGAGTAAGAACTTGTATTTGTTTAAAAAATTAAAAAATGATAATCAAATATATACGCGTTACACCCGTTTAAAAGTAGTTTTACATAATCAGTAATCACATAATTACCTTGAATTTGTCACCAACAGTGAAGATCTCGTGGATGAGGTCCTCTACACATATGATGTTGTTTTTGCCGAGCTTCTCTTCAATTATCGTGTTGGATGATATGGCTACACGTTGTCCCTTCACCTTGGCGAAACCTCGTTTGTAGACAAGCTGATAGAACATTATATAATGAAAGCGATATTTTGAAATATATAAAAAATTGAGGATAATAAATACAATAGAATAGTAAAAGCAGTTCACCATTTTTGCTGCATTTGTCGTATTTAATAACAAGGATACCAATCTGTCTAATCTTACACCAATCCTGACTGATCGACTCCCAGGTTATACAGGACTTCAGTTACAAAATAGAGTTGCAGGAAGGCGAACTCCTTATTCTCATAAATAACACAATATCTTAAGAACGATTCTAGAGCACCATATGAAGTCTTTAAATATGTGGACTTCAGTGAATACAAAGGTTATTTTAACAGTTACCTCACGAACACTCTTCAGATTAGGATATCCCCAGGTGATATATGGCTCAGCGATACGTAGCATGTTCACTGTGGCCTTGTTCAGACGAACAAATACACCGTTGTTGATCTGGCGGAGTCTGAACAACTGCAGAACTTTGCGTACCTATATATAAATTTATATAAATTACTGTAAAAGCTTGAAGTTCGGTAAAACTTAAAAGTTTTCCTGTAAAACTTAAGATTTTCCAATGTTGAATGGTAAAAGTTTGAACTGTTTTGTGATTTTTATGCTCTCACATGAAGTTGTAGAAGTTTTATGCCAAGGACACAATAAATATACATAAATATTACATGATAGACAACTCCAAACCTATTATTTTTTCTGGACAATGCATAATCAACCCATTACTGTCTCCACTACTAAAATATGTACTATGCAATGATATATTGAAATAAATAATGAGAAAAAAAATCACTAGTTTCCCAGTATCGGTATTGTACTCATAATCTTTTACAAAACAACTGCTCTATTTTATAATAATTTAAATAAAACTTAATATTTTATAGATAAAAATAAAAAAAATAAAAACTTACTTTGGGTGACACTTGGTTAATACCACGGATACGGATCACAAAAGCCAATTTGGCTTCTCCAGGTACATAATAATTGCCACGATTGCGAGCCTGCAACATAAAGGACAAGTTTAGTATTAAAAAAGTTTCTATGTTCTTAAATCTAACTAACTTAAAAGTTGCTCATACTCAAAACCAACTTTAGCAAGGGTCAGTCAGACAAAAAAATTATTATCTCAAGCACCTTCATACTTCGTATGGCACATTAAACCAACAGTTTCGGCTACATCTGCAGTCGTTAACATCCTACACTGGGTTTGCCCATTCTCCCCCATCTTATTCAAGTCTATCCATTTTTTTAGACAAAGATTTCAGTCATTATTTGCGTATAATGTCCTTAAATAAATATCAAACCAATACCAAAACATCAAACCACACACCTATCAATTAACAGATCCTAAATCTGTCATATGTACCCAATAACCTAATATGTAGAAAAAAATATCAAATAACCACCAGCGTTACCAGCTTACGATCAGTAAAAAAAATCCTGATTGTCGCAAACTTAAAACATTGACTATTTACCTGTCGAGCTAGCCTGATCTCATCACGCTCTTTGATGCGGTATTCTTTGACGTACTGTTCAGCCCTCTTGAAGATCTCTTTCCTCTTTTTAACTGCCGCCGAACGCCTCTTTAATGTGACCTGAGGATAATAATAAATTTTAAATGACAATGTCTAATAAGCAATAAGAAATTTAGTATAATTTTTTAATTATCAGATTTTAAGTTTAACAGCATCTTAATCAGATGAACTATGCCTTTGTATGTGTTAATCATCATTTATTATGTTCCTTACTGTAATTTTTATATTAGAATATATTTATCGCAGTCAGTGGTATAATCAACTAACTTATTGGGCGGCTAGTACTTTAATTGAATGGCGCCATTCAACAATAGGCTGACTCGATCAGCTAGGTAGCTGAACACTATGTTCTTAAATATGGTTGAACAAAGGTTAACCAACTAATTAACTGTCAACTCACTAGGAATACAAATATTTATTGGTTGCGACATATATCATTTTCTATATTACTATGGCATACCCAGACTGGAGGGCCTATCAAGTTTTAATTCTGGTACAAAAAGCAATAAGTAGTAATTATTATACTTTTTAGGTATATCTAAATAATATGCCTACACATTAAATAATTGCATATAATTTTATAAGGCTCTGCAGACACTTAAAATGCTTCCAGGGATCAACAGTGGTATGGTACAGCGGTACCATCCTGACAATATGCAAACAAAACATGTATCTTTAGTAAAGTTTATTCCTGACCTGTAAACGACGAGCACGTAGTGCTTCCCTCCTCTTGCGGTGCTTGAGCACTGACTCAGGTACAGCGGGCAGCTTCTTGCTGTCCTCCTTGCCTTTCACCACTTTCTTCTCGGCCGGAGCCTTCTTGTCTGTAGTCGCGACCATCGTGCTACAATTATAATCATGTGTTTATTACACAGTTAACAGCTGTTAAATTAATTTTATAGATTTAGATACACACACATTTAAAACTAATATTATATAAAAAAAAAATATTCATACAATAGGAATGATATGTAGTACTAAAATAATAGTATTTAATAATAAAAAACGGGTAGGATACTACACTATTTTATCATGCATGATATATCATATTATACTAGTATAATAATGGTAAAAAGGAAATCATTTTTATAAAGTCACGAAGCCAAACGTGGAAATATAAGCAACAATCAGTTTATCAGTGACAATGCTGTGCCCTTCTATCACATGTGGAATGGACAATATAAATACGTTAAAAAGCTTCGAAGTCTTTTAGTTTCCTAAAAATATGAGTATTAATTTTATTGTGGTGAATGTTGATGGTTTGTATTTGAAACGGTTTGGTTTGACAAAGACACTGAAGATTCGTATATATAGGTTATAATTAGGAATATTATTCAGTCTTGAGGAATCCATTTCTGATCCCCGAATTTATGCACAAACGTAAAATATATAAATATTATATTATAATATATAATAAAATCAGCACTACCGAAAATAAAATAAAACAAAAAAACACAAATTCAAAGAATCGGCGTGCTAAACATCCAGACACTGTTTCGTGTTTTCACTATCTCACACAAATTTTTTATATATACGTAGACTATTGGTAAAAAATACTTTACTTTCTTAACACTATATAGCACCAATTTAATGAGAAATATCTAAATAAATTATAACCTGCGGGGTAAAACTCCACGCGACACGTGTGTCAAATTATCAAAAGACAGAAAACCTGATTTCCGGCAACCGCCATATTTTTATACTATTTTGTAACTAGCAACACAAGAACGCGTTTTTTTCAATTCTATAAAATAAATAGATACAATAAAATTCATACACTTCAATTAATGTGAACATGTATATTTTATGTCATCTGTATATCTTATCAAATGTTTCTTTAATGTACGTTCTTTTTCTTTTGTTTTTGTTTATAATTGAGCGATCAATATATGTTTCTTCTAGTAAAAGACATGCTACATAGAATTTTTAGAAAATCTTTATCTCTTCTGGAATTAAGCTTAGATCATACCAATGTTTATTTATACCCGCTAGAATTAAAACGAGAATGTTATTTTTCATTTACTTTGCATTCGTAAATGCTATGTCAACCCCGTATCATGTAGCTACCCAGTTTCAAAGCCTATTTGTTACAAACAAACAATCAAATATTTCCTCTTTATCATATTAGAATAGACTTTGTATAGCTACCAACCATTGAAATATATATAATTAATGTATCTACTAAGATTGTTTTCTACTTGGTGTCACTAATCCCTATCATTATGACAAAATTGTTTAATAAAATTGTGTTATCAATATAAAAATGTATCGTTATAAAAATATTACCCTACGATGAAAACAAAACTTTTGTTATATAATGCAAAATTCGCCAGATAATGAAGAAGTATTTAAAAAAAAACGAATGGAGCAAGGACAGTCATTTCCGTTCCTTTTAACTAAAATATTAATAAACTGAAATTTTAAAAGTTCGATCAATACAAATACAAAAAATTACAAAGAGAATATTAGTTGTATATTGAGTTTTGAAAACTAATTTACTTTATAATGTACCGTAGCGACATCTAGTTTGATTTCGGGAACTAATGTTTTTTTTAAATACTTCCTCATTGGATATGAAGACTACTCATATGCACTATTAGTATAATAAAGAAGTTTTAGGTAATTCAATGATTCCAATAAAGTCGATAACAATCAAATTCACCCTTACTTGACTGATATATTTAATCGTTATATAGATGAAGGAATTTTTCCAAATCTTATGAAGCTAAGCAAAGTTATACCTATTTTTAAATCCGAAAATAGGGAAGACCATAGTAATTATAGATCTACATCAATATTACCGACGTTAAGTAAAATAAGTTTTTGTTTTATTTTAATTTAAATAAATTACTACATATTAAACAATATGGTTTCACAAAAGGTCGCTCTACTGCTGATGCTGGTGTAGCACTTCTTAAACATATTTTCACGACTTAGGAGGCGTCTCAAAATGGTCTTGGAGTATTTTGTGATTTATCCAAGATTGCGTTGAGCATCGAACACTGGTAACGAAGCTAAATTACTATGGTATCAAAGACTCTGCCCTACAACTAATATTGTCGTACCTCAGTTTCAGAACTCAAATTATCGTTATAAACTGTGTGAGATCATCTGTTTCACAAGTAAAAATGGGGGTGCCCCAGGGATCTATTCTGGGTCCTTTTCTGTTTCTAACTGACATAAATGATTTGCCATTTTTTGCCGAAACTTTATGCGATATAGTATTGTTTGCAGATGATACTTCTTTAATATTCAATATGGATAGATGTAAAAATAATTTTGACGATGAAAACAATGCTGCTCACAGATTATGACCTGGTTTACTGTAAATAATCTCCAGTTAAATGCTAAAAAAACAAAATGTATTAAGTTTATGTTACCTAATGTAAAAGCTGAAGTAACAGAAATCAAACTTAATGATGAAAAGCTTGAGTGGGTTGATTCGACAATCTTCTTGGGTGTAACGCTGGATTCTATATTGCAATGGCATCCTCACATTTCATTATTGGCAGGAAAACTAAGCTCAGCTGCCTTTACAATAAAAAGAATCAGGCAACTTACAGATGTAGATACCGCTAGGACAGTATACTTTAGTTATTTCCATAGCGTTATGTCATATGGCATTCTGATGTGGGGTATGCCTGCAGATATAGAGTCTTTATTTATTTTACAAAAAAGAGCAGTAAGAGCTATTTATCAATTGGGTTCAAGAACATCACTTAGAAATGAATTCAAAGAAATTAGGATATCAACCCAATTCATATACAACTGTATACTTTATGTTAGAAACAATATTAACAATTACACTAAACATAGTCATATACACAATTTGAATACTAGAAACAAAGATAAACTTGTTTTGCCGTTATGCAGGCTAAAGAAAGTACTATCATTATTTATGGGTCAAGGTATACACTACTATAACCAAATTCCTATGGAAATTTTAAATTTACCATTGCCTAAGTTAAAACTCATATTAAGAATTGTCTACTCAGTAAAGGATATTATACTGTAAATGAATATTTAAACGACATTGTTTGGTGTTAAAAATTGACTCATTTTTCATATATATTAAATTGTTTATCGGTGAGCTTCTTTGCCTACACATGTGATTCGATTGACGAAAATACTCTTTTTCTCTTATATTTTATAAAATTGTAATGGAAAGTGACTTCATATTTTAATGAAGTTATTTTCAGTCTTGACCCTCTGTATGAAATAAAACAGGGAGAAAAAAGCAGCCCTTGCCGAGTTTCTTGCCGGTTCTTCTCGGTACAAGGTGTCCCGCCGTAGATTTACGAACCGATGGCGTAGCTCTCGACTTTCACAAGTGCTTGTAACAGCCTAGACTGAATAAATATATTTTTTTTATGAAAGGTTATTGTTTTTCAAGTATATTCTTTTCTTCCTATGTGAGACTTGCAGCCAACAATTTCACAGATTTTTTAACTCTCAGGTTTTACTATCTCAAATGCGTTTTCTTTTTATAATACTTTATTAATTGTAATTTTTTCATAGAGTAATTTTAACACACCAATTACCGTGTATGTAATGTCACTATGATGCTACCAAGTTAAGCTGTCATTTATTTATACAAAAATTTAACAATCTTTTAATCTAGTATCAAAAAGTTGTCCCTGTGCGATTCGGACTCTACAATAACGGTTTTCTACGTTTTGGTTCATCTACTAGGGAAAACCTTTTATCATAAGGTTAAAAAGAACACGATAACAATTACATAATAATTTATTTCCACATTTACGAGTCAAACTATAAAAAGCTTTTATTTTAATGCATTAATTTTTAAAATAGATTCTGTTGATCAACAGAAGCTATTTTAAAAATGTTTAGATTAATAATTTATATTTATATTTTTTAATTTAGATTAAAAGGCAATATGTTCAGATTCTGCTACCGGGAGTGATTTTTTTTAGTTTATAAATACAAACGAAATTAATTGTCTAATTAGCACATGGTGATAGAAATCCTAATCAATTATTAAAGGTACGATATTATTTTATTATCATTATTACTAAATACCTGCAAATAAAGATAAAGTGGGACAAGTTCCCTCATATGTACTGTCATACCCTGGTACATATATTCAAATTATATAATGTTATAATGATAATTCATTTATTGTACCTTGAAGGTGTGGTCTGGCGTGGCAGCTTTAAGGGATCCTTACAAGCAAGCAACTCATTTCCCTTTTTTGTATGGTCTGTACATTTTTTATCCATTTATAAATAACACACAAGACAAAGTATTCTTAAACGAAACGAGCGTATTGCCATAACCAATATTGAAATATATCAGGGACATGGTGCCAGGCCGTTACTTCCGGTAATATTTGGCGCAATATTCAAATAAATGATGTTGCTATAGTTACATAAAATAACTTCCCAGAAAATCTGTTAAGAACTTTCATGAAATAGAAATTATATTTCCAAAGTAAAAATACACTCCAGATCAAAATGGTTGAAAAAGATCCTCAGTTGAGTGCTTTAGACGTAGGGGAATTAGATGTCTTCGTAGAAAGCATGGAGCCGTGGCAGATTGAGAGCATTGGAAATCAGGCGTTAGTATTTTTCTTAACATTAAAATTACAAATATTTTCTTTGATTAAGTAATTACATACGAAACATAACGCTATAATAGATACCTTCTAAATATTATGACTTGTTCCGGCATTATTTGATACTAGATTTCGGTCGATCTATACAAAACCTCATTCATATTAGGTTGGGGAAAAAGTTAGGTTTACAATTTAAAGAAGATAACTCCATGGTATTTTGATCAGAAGCAGCAAAATTTTTATAGATTTTTTTTTTGTTATTCATATACCTCTAACTACGAAGAAACTTTTTCCCCCAACCTATTATGATTGTATGATTTAATAAGGTTTATATCTGAACCCGAATATTTCTTGTGAATGAAGGCCTCCCCAGTAAGTGTTTTCTTTGATTAACTGCGTCTTTTGGCTAAGAAGAATTTACTTTTGATAATTTTAATTAATGTCGCATTCAGATTTCGAATTTTGTTGGTATGGTAGTTATCAGGCACACTTCTTTTTTAGTTTCACTTCTGTAAAGTAGTTTATTAAAGGTTTTTAGGCATTTCATTTTAAACTTACCAGTGGCGTCGTGGGTGAAACGACCTCTTACCCAGGGTCAAGGAGCTTCCGACTTGTCTTAATATATACATTCTAAGACCAATAAAGTCAAATCCACGGAATGAATGTACACCATAAACATAGTAAAATAGATCTTTTCGATTATGAAACAGGAAAATATGTTGCTTCACTCACATCTAGATTATTTCACGCTGCTCCACGGGCTGTATTCTAATATAATAATAATTCTTTATTGAGTAACTACATAGCGTAACAAATCAATTTGCCCTGTCTCCCAAATTAGGTGGCAATTAATATAATCACTAAATTACAGTTGGGTTGATTGGCATATTAGGCTTCAAAAGCTTAATCAACAGGCTGTTTTGGAAGCGTCTTCAATGCAAGAGGAACTTACAAAAGAGACGCTAATCTCTTGCGGAAAGGTTATAAAATAATTATCTTAAACTTCAAATCGAATCAAATAGTTCATGTTAATTTAAATATTTAATCAAATACATTTCAGCTGCCTGTATTAGTTTATGAGGCCATATGCATACAAGTGTGGCGGTTGAAAGTGTATCCACAAATCATGAAGCTAGAACCGAGCCCTGTTAATACTTTTGGGATCTATATGGTGGTAAGTTTACTATCAGGATTATTAATCAACATTATCATTATCACCATTTGGGCCCTTGATAATTGATATAACCAAGTCCTACTCTTAGTTGTACCATGAAGCAGCAGCTGTGGGTTTACTGGAGACCGTGCTGTTTCATGAAGACGGAGCACAGTGTATCAGTGAGGTGATGATAGATCTCCTAGACTACGCTGTAGACCAGCTCACTGCACTTCTGGCACTCATCAAGTGAGGAAAACACTAGTAGGATTTTATAGTTTTTATGTAGTCAAAAAATCCTTAGATTACCTTCTTCTTTGCCACAGTTTTTACTTATTTTGTGGCAATTCTGTAACTGACGCAATGAATAAAAATAGTATTAAGCCCAGTGTCGACTAGAAGTGCGCCGAAACGAACGGAGGGTCACCCGTCGTAAATATTGGCATTGCTCTGGCACTATCGCCGTTAAACGTCAAAATAAAACCCTGATTCATCGATTTGACCAATAAAGAGTGGTTTAGGGTTAAATAGACCAGTTTTAATTGGTCAAAGCCAATGAAAAGAAAAATTGTTATAGCTAGTAAAAGACACATTTTATTATTCAATTGATATATTTAAAATCACCATGCCGATTCCAATAGTTTTACAAGAATGACAACTCTCCAGCATATTGATGCGAAACTAATCAAACGTCCAAGTCAAAGTGACAGTGACAGATAACTGACATATAGGGTTGCCTGTAGTGAAATCGACAATTAAAAAATTACAAACAGTGCTGCCAGTAGCAGTAGGGTATAATTCTATTTTAGTTAAGGAAACATCACGGTTCTTGGTCGATTTCGATTCGATGTGTTTAAATTATTGTGATTCAATCGACTCAGCTCGGCGTACCTAATCAGAATTAAATAATTAAGATAAAAACATAATGAATGACGTTATAAAAACGAAGTTCAATTAAGTTATTTACAGCTCAGGTCACCTGAAACCGGTGACAGCGAATGAAATGGAATGCGAAACACAATTTGAAGAGTTGGAAAGACAAAAGCGCGAACTGCAATTTGATATTAGCATGAGGTGCATCTCCCTTGTACGGTGAGTAATCGAATTGTGCTTTGAGTGATTAAATATGATATTGAGTTTTTGAATAGATTATTGTATAATTGAATAGAGTATTGAGCAATTGAACAGTGTACTTAATAATTGAAAATATTGAATTGGATAATATAGTAATATTGAACTATTGGTTGAATATTATACATTTCACAGTATAGTATATTAGTTATTAAAATAAATAATGTTAATACATTACTATATCACATTCATTTATTATGAGCGAAAAATTTACACATCTATTTGTGTTCTCAGTTACATATCAGAACACATGGAAACAGCAGGCGTGGCGGCCTCTATGGCCACCAATCTTTACAAGACGCACGATATGCCGTCCCTTTTATCGCACTTACTGCAACTCGAGCCTTGGAAGAGGTTCGACGACAAAGGCAATTTGCAGACGTTCAACTGTAAGTTCTAAAATCATGGATAGCATGGTTAGATAGTTCGGACTATAATGCGAAGGTTATGCAACTGGAAAGCCGGTCTAGTGCTTTCGTTTTTTTTGAAATACTTCCTCATTACTAGTTTTCACTTATAGGTAATTAAACAATAGATAAAACAGATGGCAGCTAAAAGCAACAAAATTAAATTACAGAAGGTTAACATTTAAAACATGATTCAATATTTATTCGGTGCATTTCGGGATCGGATACTGAAAGAAAAATGCATCATGATAGGACGTTCACATTAAATTTTGTCCACGCCACTGATGTCATGGGTAAAATATATTTGATATTTGATTGTTTTCGTATACAGTAGGTCGATGGTCTCGTCCTGACGCCGAGGAGTTGAGTCAGCTGCACCGTAGCGAGGCGCAGCTGTGGCTCTGTTTGAGACAGCTCCTGTTGGAGCCACGACTGTCTCACTACTACACCATAGACGAGACGCGACGCAACATATTCTGTCGAGTACCTATAAACATACATACTTATTTTATCTAAAAACTTTTATGTTACTAGACGAGCTTCTTTAAGTGGATGAGGAGAAAATTTTAATAGAATACGCGAAACGGCAATACGAATCATTGGACATATTCCATGGTGATGCGAGTAATTTTTCAATACTGTACAGGGTTGTTTAGTATGTATGGAAGTCTTTAATTCTATCTATGTCACCTCGGATAGGCAATATACATAGCATAGCTAATCTTTAAAATAGTAATACATAGGCGTATCAAAGTATGTACAATACAGACAGGTTGGTCATTGCAATCATAACTCAATCCATTGGGGGCCGTCCATTAATGACGTGATATTTTTTCAGCATTTTTAAACCCCCCCCCCCTCCCCTCCACCCAATCACGTGTATTTTTTAGTACCTACAAAAAAAATCTTAACTTTTGACGCCGCTTTTCACTTTAGTAATCGCGCGTTTGAGGAAAAATTAAAAACTCGTGATATATTACTTACCCTCCAATCCGCATTGGGCCAGCGTGGAGGGTCATGGCCCATCCTCTTTAACCATCCATATGGAAGGCCTGAGCTCCTGCAGTGGGGACGTAAAAGGGCTGATAATGATGATATATTACTACGCCCCCTCTCCACCCTTGTGATATTTCGAAACCCCTCCCCTCCTTTCGAGCCTCACGTGATTAATGGACGGCCCCTTGGTGTAAAACGACAGAAATGTCCGTTTTTATTGCCTCCAGTCACATTCAACGTCAAAATGATTGACAAATAGGGATGCGCTTAATCCATTCAATCAACAATGATAACTCTGTACTCGATTGCTGTCCCTTTAACAGTAATAACTAGGTATGTGTACCAAAGGTGTATTTAACACTACTATCCTTTCTTTTGCAGCTGCAAGCAAATTTGACGGACATAATGATCGATCAGATCCCGCCGCTGGTAGATTTGAAGACTTTCTTATGCCGTTTGTCAGTCGGCGATTATTCAAATCTCCGAGGGCGCACCAACGGCGTCAAAAATCCAGGCTGTACTCTCATAGAGCTCGTTCCACAGGTCAATACTAACATTATCAGCCCTTTTACGTCCCCACTGCAGGGGCTCAAGCTTTCGTTATGGTATCGATACATGAATGACTTTCCACACTAGCCCAATGCGGATGGGATGATATTAACGACCGCATATACAGCCGGGACCAACTGCTTAACGTGCCTTCCAAAGCACCGAATAGCTTGCCCTTGCGAAAGTTGATTAATCGCTGGTCTCGGCGCTTATCCATTTAGCCACCGAGCTTACTATCATCATCATCATCAGCCCTTTTACGTCCCCACTGCAGGGGCTCAGGTCTTTCTTATGGATGGTTAAGGAGGATAGGCCATAACCCTCCACGCTGACTCAATGCGGATTAAAGGGTATTAACGTCCGCAAATGCAGCAGACCAACGGCTTAACGTACCTATCAAAGCACGGAATAGCTCATGATAATATTTTTTTTGGTCACCATTCCGTGACCGACCCTTTCGAAAGTTAGTTAACATCAATCGCTGGTCTCGACGCTTATCCACTACGCCACCGAGCTTACTATACTACCAATCAATACTATAATGTTAGCTAATACGCTGCCTAATAGCCTGCTTAATACGCTGTAGTTTCATATATATGTATGACTGTTGATTACGAGTCGACTCCAAGAATTACTTTTGGAAGTACTCTTCAACTTGTCTAATCACATTGAATTTGTTGAATCATCAGATCGAATGTGAAATTGAAGCGTTTAAAACCTCCTTACTAGTTTTAAATATCTCATAACGCAGTGGTAAGCGAGCTGGATGCGGACGTAAACTTTCGCAAAGGATGGGTCACCAAAAATTAATCATTTCAAGCTCTTTGCTTTGGAAGGTGCTTTAATCTGTTGGTTTGGTCTCCATGGCCCGTTTCGTTGAAGGCCGATGCTCCAGCAATGGTGTCATTAATGATTTATTTGTTTAATCTTTATTGTAAAGAACAGTTCTCTACCAAATAGGATGTAGAATTGATATTTTTTAAGAATATTTTTGTGTGTTTGGATGGATAATATTAAGCATATATTTCATGTCCACTTCAGATAAAAGAGGGTTACATGAAACAAGTGCACAGACGCACTAAAACCATAGCCAAGGTTCAGTTGGAGCGTTTCCGTATGGACGGCTCTGATGAGTCGCGCGGCATGGCGAGGAAACTTCTAGAATCTTACACGAGTGACGCCGCTCTCGCTATGGACAGTGGAGGGGCGAAATGTGCTAAATGTGGCGACAAAGCGAGCAAGAAATGTTCCAGATGCAAGACAGAGTGGTATTGCGGAAGGTAAATAATAATGCGCGCAAAACCCTAGAACGGTTGAACCGATTTGGCAGAGTCCTTTTTTGATGAAGTCTGAGGAAAGCTCTTTGTAGAACGAAAACGTAAAAAATACTAGAATTATAGTAAAAATCTTTTGCATGCATACAAACTTTTGGTACACAAAAAAAGCGCCACAAAATTGTCGTTTGTCTCCGAAACTATGTTAACTTGGCTATTGGTCTCTATTTTATAACGAATTAATAAATAAGCATAAGGGATTAGACGGACCAAATACTCGTTTCAAATTCAAAGATGGTGGTGTTGCCAGATCGACGGACATATTTCTTACTGCTAAAATAATTTAACTATACTGTTATAGTTTTATTTGTATTAAATAGGTTTCGAAATTACTCAGATGCGGTTTTTCCCAGTCCTCCTAATGGTAGGAGCGCAAATTTTTTTCCCAATCATCCGATTAATAGGTTTGGTAGAAGTGGGAATACTTTCTGCCATACCTCCGTTTGAATGAGTTTTGTTTTTATCACTAACACCAATCGGGTTCCGAATTGAGAAGTTGAAGTTAACAAAAGTACCTAAACGTTACTCAAACAGGTTTTAGTTTCAGATTTTAATTTTTTTAGTGATCTGCAGGATGATTCTTTAAATATCCGAACCCGAATTCACGTCATTTAGTGAAGAAATTCTATCAATTCTATTATTGTATAAAAATACAGAACAAAATTGATTGATTATACATGTCTCAGATATTCTATTTCTGTCATTTCAAAACTCACTATGCCACGAAATGTTATTACCAATTCAAGAATTTGTTTTGAATTTTAATACAAAAAATGAATCGATAGAATTTCTAACTCAATGACGTGAATTTGAAATCGGGTCTGGATTTTTACAAAATCGCAGGGCTGTTGATAGCAAGTTAAACATAACTAGGAGTTGAAATTTCTACTTTTCTCAATTCAGAAACCGGTTGTTACTTTACTAAACCAAAAGTACAGTCAAGGCTGTCAAGGCGTTATTTGAAGTTAAGATTTTTTGCTTTATAAAATAATAATTTGGTAATGTAATAGGAAGTGATGAAATCAAAATTTATTAAATCGGAGGTAAGCTATAATTTAGGGGGCAAAATCGCGGGAAAACTACTAGTACTAAAAGAATATCAACTCTTGTTTACAGAGAATGTCAAGTGCAGCAGTGGCCAAAACACAAAGACATCTGCGATCAATTCGCGAATCTCACAGCAAACTAAAATGTTTACAAGATGTAAGTCGCATTCCCTTTACGATTATGTTAATTTATGTATTACTAGGTAATATATCTCTAGAATTAAAAGCTCATGTCAATTTTTTTTGGGTTTTTATTTTAACTTAGCGATTACACCTAGGATCTAACTCGAAGACTTCAGGTAGTCTTTGAGCACGTCCAGCGCTGGGGTCTCTTCACCAAAATCCTGTAAAGAAAGAAGATTAAGTGTTTGATCTGTTTAATTGCATGTTATAATGGCTCGGCTTTCGATTAAATAGTCTCAATAGTCACATTGATTTTTTTATTTGATGATGCGATTATTAAAAATATTGCATTAGTCTTTATTGCAGTATATTTGTTAATAATGTTTGAGTAATAGGAAAGTTGCCTGTACAACTGGCACGACACCATAGGGTTACTCGATTTAATGTAGCGCTGATATAATTAATCACTGATAACTCCATATAATAAGTTACCAGCGTTCGTGCTAAGCGCAAATAGACAAATACAAACGGCTTGTTACAAAGCTATTGATAGTAGCTATTTCTTAAACATCTGTATAAAAATTAACTTCCTGTTCTTCTCTGTAAAGCAAATAGGGTATATATGCATCAGGCCTGATTTGCAGACCTCGTGACATGAGAAATTGTCAAAACATCAATAATAAAATCGCAAGAATTTCCAATCAACTAGTTTAAGTAGGTGATAGACGTACGAACTCTATATACACGATATTTAAGATCAACTTACTCGACTCAACGCGGTAACACATGAGATGGCTCACACTGTATTGCGATATCGTCGACGGAAGCTTTGTTTATTAGGAATTATTAAATATCACTTAAATCTTAAAAAATCGAGAAACGTGGGTAAAAAAAACTGGCTTATGAAAACGGAGCTTTTATTACTAATAATATTACCATAACTATAAAAAAGAAAAAATAAATACTGATATAAGATCAAAGGCAAAACAAGTGTTACGCCTCGACGGACTGACGAAACAAAATGGCGGGTCGCGACTCGCAGTGCTGCCACACGCACGAGCAGAGACAATCTATGAGTAAGATTTCCAAACAGTTTGGATCGCCGGCGAACTTGCGCGTTAATTTTAAAGTATCCGTACTTAAAAGGTTACGAATTCGGGTACTTATTCGCACGTCTATCACCCACTTAAGATAATGTGATGTTTCGGAATTGGGGAACGTTTGTCTTCGCTATCACTCACGAGCAACGCATGGATACAGCGTGCTGGACTGACGTCACAGTTTAATCTCTGTCTAATATAAATTTAAAACTTTCAAATCTCCGTAAATAATTAAAACATTTTTATCTGTTCTTGTACATTTCAATAATTTAACTTGTCAGCTTGTATTAACGACATGAAAAAACACACTTATACCCTATTGATTTCTTTCCACTTGGTCTTGAGAAAAATATTAAAAATGCATAATAGGGATGATGACTGGGTAAAAAAATTGCAATTCTATTTAGTCCGTCAGTCAGATAATAGAAAAATATTAGATATGTATTTGTTTTTACTTCAATTTAACAAGAAATAGCTTAGATAACAGGCATTAAAGTTGAGGAGTGGGGAGCTCGCTACGTCACAGTTGAGTAGAAAACGTACTCTAACGTGACGTCATGCGAAATTTCAACTCAATGTAACGCCGTAATTTTATGATTACGAAAAAAATAAAAAAAAACGTGTTTAATATTTTTTAACACTACCTGACGGACAAACAAACAAAAATTGGTCATCATCTCTATTAAATTCAAGTTGTATTGTTAGATATAATATAAAAAATGGCTTTTACTTACTTTGATTACGACGCACGAGCAGCCAACGATTTTCCTGGCTTTGCCGTCTTTGTCGATTTTACACAGACCAGCCCATTCGCCTAATTTCTTGTTGTTATCGACCTAAGCATACATATTTAGTAAGTATATTAAAAAATGTAATCAGAAATACAGATAGAGACTGATATTTGCAGATATTGCAAACAGCCTCAAAATTTTGTATGAGTGCTAGGAAAGTTGACTCAGCATAGTGCGGGTCACCATAGGGGCACACAATATTACTTTTCGCTCCTTATGCCCGCAAAGTCACTGGAACAAGGTGGCTCGTGCGGAGCGAATCAAATTTAGAGTAAACCAGAACTTTAATAATTTTTTGGCTCAAACTAGATAAAATTTGATTTTATCGCTATCAAACTACATTTTGATTTCTATTAAACTTATCACAGGAGTAAACTTATTATACTATACAGAAATCCATATATGTATATTTCTTAAATAACATATGACAACAAAGTTAAAAGTGAGTGATTAAGAATTGGCATCATTGTTTTCCTCTCATAAAAAGATGCTAATGTTGTAAATGAGGAATTGTATTTGGGTATAAATGAAATTTAACTTGTTCAGGACAGGATTTTTGGTTTGCATAGTTTCTGAATTGAGACAAGTACAAAATTTTAAGTAGTTATTCTCAACAACTTCAGTTTTTTTTACTTTTCACAAGGAGAATATCCAAGTTTTTAACAAACTCCTATCAACTGGTCATTAAAAAAATAAAACCAGGAGTGAAAACCTGTTTGAAGATTGAGTGCTTAACTTTAAATACTCAATTCAGAAACCGGGTATTAATCACTTTATAGCATAGTAGTCAATTAAGGAATATTATATGCCCAATATAATATTAGTACTCGTGTGATGGGTTTCCACGGCGATATAAGTCCTAAAGCAGCTCCTTGTTATAAACTTTAAACATATTATATGTAATTACAAGAGATTATAAAAATAAACATACTAAATCCCAAAAACATGTGACATAACTACATATGTCAAGATCCACATTCGATTTTGTATTTTATCGTCAATGAAATAAGGTTTTAAAATCAAATGGAGTAATTTGATAGTATTATATAACCTGACATACAGCTGAGGTTACATTTAAGCTGCTTACCTTGACTAAAGGAATCTGATGTTCGTTACAAAGGGCCTGCACAAGCTTTTTGTATGAAGCTTCATCACAGTTCTCTGCCAATACACACAGCATAGCTTGCCTCCTGTTGATTTAATTTTAAGATAAAATGATATCACTATAAATGCTGTAGGATTGAAATGTTAAATGTGGATGGAACAGATGCAGCTGAAAATTGCCAGAATGGTAGGGTAGAATTAGCATCTTTATTTAATGTAGTAAAATAGTGACAAATCTATAAACAAAAAATTAAAATTGAGAGGTCAAGCTTATAAAACAATAATTTTAATATGATGCAGTCTTATCCTATATTTAAGGATTTCATACTATAATGAATGAATTGTTTTTCCATAAAAGTGCAATGTATTGATTCTATTAATATCATTATAATGATTTCATTAAAAATGTTAGCATTTTAATTTCTTTGTCAATATAGTATATACAATTGTCCCACACTTGGGAGGCCACAACTTTGATGGGACAAACTCTGTGGTACTATGCGTGTGTATCTCTATAGGCAATGAATGGTATCTACTGCAACTATGTATCATAGCAGATATTTCCACACAAAACCCGACTAGAACAGTCAGACCTAATGTGAATATTGAGAGGAATTCATTGCCAGGTAAAATGAAACTTATTTATAAAAATCTGTAGATTAACGAAGTATAAATTAATATGCCGAAGACATTGTGTGGTCACTTGACTACCCTTTAAAATTACAAAACTTTGGGGTAAAAAATTATAAAAATATAAGATGTAACGTATAAATGGTCTGTGTAACCCTAAAAAAGGTTTGTAAGTTATTAAACCAATAGATGGTTAATAAAATGTCTACAATGAGCAATTAAGCACAAAGAAAGTAATAAAGATTCATTTTCTTGCATTTAGGAATAAAAATAATGTTAGCTTACTTGTCGAGAGCTTTGGCTGCTTCATGTAGTCCATGGACAAGGCCACCGTGAATCAGGGCAGTCTTCAGCACCTCCTGCAGGGCTGTGTTCACGTCCATCGCACCGCCGCTGAGGACGGGGTTTGCTGGTACTTCACTGATAAAGAATTTGATCATTAAAATTGATAACTTAAATCGGCTTCCACTTACTAAGTAATTTAACGATTCCAATAATGACAGTCCACCCCGAGTACCCTATGTAAACAATAGCAAAGTTTTCGGAAGAGGAACAAAAATGTACGTACTGGTTGACAAAATTTGTTATTCCTACTCAGGTGTCCCATTCCAAACATCTTGAAAGGCCATCTAAATGAAAATAGATGTTTTCTAACCTATACGTTGTGTTAGGTTATGATATAAATATTGTCAGAGTTCATTTAAACGAAACATGTGATAGTAATGTAGTACGATAGTCGATCTGGTATGTTTTTTAAAATAAGCAGTTAATAGTTAATAACAAAAAATAGCAAAAACATTTTCAATACTCACACATCAACATCAGCCATGGTTATTTCGTAATTGCCGACCTGAAATATGGAATGCAACACATTGAGTAAAACTCTGACAAATTATTTCTTCTATCATATTTATTTTACGGTGTTTGATTTTTGTAATAATTGAAGATTACGAAAATTTTAACACCAAAACACTTTGACACTTTACCTTGCGTACCGGAAAAAGACTGGAGCTGTCACTGTCACTTTTAGTGTTATGTTTACATTACATATCGATGAATGGGATCATATAATAATAACAACACTAAAAATCGGTATGGATCTATTTGATTTACTAAGCTTCTCCGTGTTATTCGCGGCGAGCAGAGAATTAAAACTGTACTTAATTGTCTAATTTCAAATTCTATCGCATCCCTTTTAAAAGTATAGCGATTGTGATGGCAAGTTTTAGAATTTAGGAGTCGCAATCGTTTTAGGGACAAATGATGATTAAATGATGATGATGACGTACAGTTTATATATTCCTCCTATAGTTTACTCGTCAACTTTTTTAAACGTTTTCATATTAACTAATATCAGTCAACGCTTCACAGGTTTTCTACAGACATTAAGATCAGCTCTGTGACTCTATAAAAATCCAAACATGAATTCTAATTCTATCAGGTGTCCGAACTTCACTTTTAAAAGCAGCATCTGTTCAATCTTAATTTGGTAATAATGTTTCGTGCATAAGTGAAGTGAATTTAAAAATGAAAGGAATATTATATCTGAGACATGTATATTCAATTAATTTCATTTTATATTATTATACCAAAATTGGAATCAAGAAAAAATTCGGACATATGGGTGAATTCGAATTCGGGGTCTGGATTTTTACAGATTCGCAGGGCAGAAATAAATCGTTAAAAATGTCAGAAAGGGTGATGATTGGAGGCATACAAAGTATACAAGGATACATATGTTCTTTACTTTCGAAGAATCTTTTTTCCGTGAAGGATATGAACCTAGATTATTACGTTCACATGTAGTGTCAACTATATCCATTTAGTTTATATTTTGTACCTAAATGTAGATAAATAAAGAGTTGTTTTATGCATTATAAATAAAACACGTATAAAATTATTATTTTATCAATAATTATGATAATAAAATTATATATAAATGAAAGGGATGAGGCTAAAGATGTACGTAAGTACCATACACTGTGGCACTCAGTCCTCTATCTACCCCGCAAGGGATATCGCGTGAAGATATAAGTATAAATAAGGTATTTGACACTTTTCTGAAAACTATTGAAAACTATTAAATGGTCTTTTCTGTCAATGTCACACACACTGTCAATAAATTTCATGGGAATCTGTTCTATTTGCGATGAAACTAATTGTTAAAGTTCAAATAACCAAATTCGAGCAAAAAACGTTCTTCTGTGTGATGGCGAACGATGGATCACGTGGTATTTGTGACGTTACACGCCGGTACATATGTCAAGACAGAACATATTTATCAACTATCTATTTATGAAGAGGAATTGAAGTAAAATTTTATGTTTTGTATTTGTATCTACTATTTTTCTTTTTTGTTGCAAATTGAATGTATAAATACAAAATTTACGTATCTCTAATAACATTGTTTTGACATGATAGCTTTCCGTTTACATGTCGGTTAACAGAACCTGTTATTGGTTGCGACCACACCAATCACAGGGCGTTTTCGTCGTTCATTAAATGTTGCATTTTCTTTACGTTATTTTACTTAAGCTAAACATATTTTGTCTGTAGATTCTAACAAATAAAATTTATTAGATTATTATGTAACAGGATGACATAATCCTCTATGGTTACATCCTTCTAATAGTGATGTGACATTGTAACTACAACAACAAGAATTTTCCGTATCCTACAATGATGATCCTGTTTAATTATGATCTAGAAATTCATTAATAATATTATTACAAATGCTTATGTGCCGGTATGCCACATTTCGTGTCTTTTTAGGTTTTTGAGCACATGTATGGCGCAAGCTTTATTTATCATGCTCACAGAATAAAGTAGTACAACAAAAAAACCTTTTTTCAATGTTCTGTGATAATACTATCTAGACTTCCATGCGCGAGTATGTTGGAGGAGGCCTTAAAACACCACTATGTACACAAAACAGGAAACACATATCTATTCTCTTTGTCTTTGCGCGGTATTTTTAAAACAAAAGAGCACAATTGTCAGTGTCATTTCATTTTCAGATACAATTTTATTTTGTAGTTTTCTTTGAATTATTTGTGCGAGGAAATCATAGTGTATTTAATATAGTATAAAATGTGCTATCAGTTATTAAGTTATTGTTCACTGTTCTTATTAAGAACATGACGCGAAGTCCAGACATATTGTTTATGACTGAATATATAAAAAATGTATTGTATTTTGCCACAGTACGTCAGGGAAAACTCGTAAAAAATACAGTTGATACACATTACTTCTGTATAGATAATGAACTAATATATGAGAATTATTATTCAGACTTCGGACCTCTGAACTTGGGATGTGTCTTCAAATACTGCACAATATTGAATGAGAAATTAAAACTTTATTTTAATAAACAAGTTATAGTGCATTATACGTCGGTTGAACCAAACAAAAAGGCCAACGCAGCATTTGTATTGGGATGTTATGGTGTTTTGTATTTAAATTTGTCGCCTAGGGACGCGTTGAAGCCACTGCTGATACACGGACAAAGTTATCGGTATACTACTATCACAATATGCGCATACATTATATAACTATACGTAATATACTGTAGATCTTTAATATGGCAACTTTGCTAAAAACACAATTATGTAAAGAAAAGTATTCATATATTATAAAATATTAATATGTTGCGTTACAGCTCATTTATAGCCCATGATAACAACTGAATAGAGAAGTAGTATAAATACGATATACCAAGCAACTTCACGTATAATACTAACGTTACTTTTTTTGGTAGATATATTTTAAAATCTGTGTAGTGCTTTCATGGTTAACACCATCCACAAATTTGCGCCAACACTAAATGCGTTTTATTTTTAAATTCTTAAGGTTCTCACAGACGCGTCATTTATTTAAGCAGTTTATATTTCTCTGCTATGTATTTACGTACTTTAAAAATAATTTATGCTTCGTTATTTAGTCCTTTTCAAGATGCCACTCAGGGCGACTCGCAATACACAATATCAATGCTCGACTGTTTACAAGCGTTGAAAAAAGCGTGCGATTTTGGCTTTTTCAACGTTGAAGATTTCAATTATGAAGAATACGATCGACTTGATAAAATACAAGGTGGAGATCTCAACTGGATAATACCGGGTTGGTAATTTTAAGTAGTTTATACTAGTAATATTTTTAATGAATAAAAGTGCTTTATAGATCAAGAAGTTTATCGTAGACCAAGGAAGTTATATGTAACTTCAACTTATAATTTATATATTATGTAAGTTTCGTATCGTGGATGAAATTTTGTGAAGGTTCTTGAAAACTATCAATACTCAAGCCTTTATTTTTCTTGTAAGTATGCAATAAATTATTGAATTGCTTTTTCAATATTACAGGGAAATTCCTTGCATTCATTGGCCCTGTTGACTTCAGTCTATCCTTTTATCATCCACCAGAAATGTACATAGATTATTTTCGAGACAACGATGTTAAAATTGTTATTAGGCTGAACAAGAAATTGTATGATGGCAATGTGTTAGTATAGATTATTTAAATTATATTAAGTAACTAGCTGTTTTCCTGCGACTATATCCGCGTAAATTATAGTTTGCTGCACGCAGGGGAAGCCGATGCTTCTTTTCCCTAGATACTTCTTTCATTCCTAGGGATCTTTTTAGTGGGGATAAAAGTGGCTTGTATACTAATTCAGGCTTATAATTCAGGAACAAGTAATGTGTGTAAGTACACATCGATACCCCAAAGAAAATAAAATTCTAAATGTGACAAATTATGGAAGTTATTTTGATTTAAGTCATGCAATAGAAAGTAATTTATTCATTTTTGTTTCAAAACAATCTGAAAGAACTACCATGTCTAAGTTATCGTGATGATGTCGTTGTACAGTCAATTGCACGTCAGACTATACAAAACTGTCTAATTTTCCCCACTTGAATTTAAACCTAAATTTATTGACGGCACAGGTCAAAATCCATTGCAGAAATTTGACACATTGTGATAGCCTAACGTGCGGCCGTGTACACTGGTTAAAATTTTTATTTTTTAAACGACTTAATAAATATTATAATTGTTAACCGACATTGTAGTTATAAAAATTACTTACAGATTCATTTAGTCTTAAAATATTTTTGTTCTGCTGAATATCTGTTATTTACTGCATAACAAAATTTGCTCTCAGGTTCAGTAACGCTGGTATAACTCACTATGACCTGTTTTTTCCGGACGGTTCCTGTCCGCCTCGTAATATATTATTCAAGTTTCTTCAAATCAGTGAAGATTCAGATGGTGCTATTGCGGTGCATTGCAAGGTTATGGATTTTACAGTAGCGTCGATATAGAATCATTTACCAAAACTTCAAGTTTATAAACGTATTCACATTGCATAGGTCCCTATGATCAACAGATACATAATGGCATATGATAAATTATTCCTTCTATTCCTGATTAATTTATTTGTTCAGGCAGGTCTAGGGCGCACTGGTTCTTTAATCGGTTGTTATATCATCAAGCATTATAGAATGACGGCCCGAGAAGCCATTGGCTGGATGAGAATATGCAGACCTGGATCTGTTATTGGACAGCAACAGGTAAATAATCGATATCTTGGAGAAAAATCAATCAGTTAGTTCATGGTGTAGATATTTAGATCACGCAACGCTATTATTTAAGTATTCACTTTATTCTCTCGATTACATTTTCCAAAGGGTTGGTTGGAGCAGCTGGAGCCATGGTTGACAAAGCAAGGCAATCTTTATAGGTAAACAGGTGAAGATTTTGTTAATTACAAATAATAATTTCGGTATTACACACATTCTACATGGTAATGAGATTGACATAGCAAGTTTAATTATTAATCTGCAATTCAATACATATTTTTACGTATATGATCACTTATACAAATAAGAAATTAAAATTAATAAAGTATATGACAGGAGACGCACGTATGGAGACGAGAGCAGATTCCCAACGCATTTATTTGGTGTATACTCTATAACTGAGCAAGCACTGAAGCATAAACCGATTATATTCCGTAAATCACCATCACCGCCACCTGTGCAGAGGCAAACTCGTTCTGATATTTCACCACCATTGAGAATTCAAGATACAAAACAAAAAGAAGGTAAGCATGCTAACCACATTAGGAACCAAAGTTCATAACAATGTGTTTCGTAAAGATCTAAATAAGTCCATAAATAAAGAAAACTTTTGTCCATGTCACTGTAATATTTTTAATGAAAAAGCATTAGTAGAATATTTACTTTAATCAATTGATTATTTATTATTATTATTATTTATTGCTGTAAGGGGCTATGCAGTTCCCTGAGAAACTGTAGTCACTGCGACCTTGAAGATCTATTGTGACTCGCCGCCAGATCTATAGTAACTCCTTTAGCCCGGTAAACTTCAAAAAGTCTATTATATTCCTGGCTTTTAGAGATTTTATATATTCTGGGCTGATTATACGAGGGTCAAACTGAAAGTTCTTAGAACTGGCCACTTATAAACAATATAATAAAAAAATAATTCTAAAATTTGAAAATATAACTCTTTGCCAATATTACTGAGTATATATTTCATTCATTTGTCATTTGTTTTACGATTTGGCGGCAAATTGAAAATTGTCTGTGTCACGTCATCATGAATTTAACACGAGAAAATTTTCGTGCAATGATTTTTTATGACTTTCGATGTCATTTAAGTCAACAAGAAAGTTATGATAGACTACGATTGGCCTTTCACGATGAAGCCCCATCTCGTGCGACTGTTTACAACTGGTTTAATGAGTTTAAACGTGGTCGCACTAATCTCACTGATGATTTACGTGAGGGACGGCCTTCTACTGCGACGACTGAAGATAACATCTGTGTTGTGCGGCGTATGATAGAGACTGACAAAAGGGTGACCTATCAACAGATTCGGACAAGCTTAGGCATCGGTATGAGTCAAGTGCACAAAATCGTCCACGAACATTTAGCGGTCAGGAAGCTTTGCGCCCGGTGGATACCTCATAATTTGACTGAGGCTCAAAAACTCCATCGTGTGGATTGGTGTCGTAAAATGATTGAAAGATTTAACGGAGGTGACTCAAATGCTGTGTTCGACATACTAACAGGTGACGAAAGCTGGATTTACTGTTATGATCCTAAAACCAAAAGACAATCTGCTCAGTGGGTGTTTCCTTTCGAGGAGTTGCCAACTAAAGTGAAGAGAGATCGAAGTGCGGGAAAAAAAATGGTGGCCTCGTTCTTTGGAAGGATAGGTCATTTTGCAACAATTGTGTTAGAGGATCAAAAAACAGTTTCTGCAGAATGGTACACTACCAATTGTTTGCCACTTGTCTTGGAAAAAGTTCGAGAGAAACGACCTCGCAGTAGGATCCTCCTTCACCACGACAACGCCTCGTCGCACACCGCCAAGCGAACGATCGACTATTTGGCGACATCAAACGTTGAATTACTGGGTCACCCGCCGTATAGCCCCGACCTCGCGCCTTGTGATTTTTATTTATTTCCAAAAATTAAAGAAAAACTTAAAGGAAAGCGGTTTATGAATGCTGAAGAAGCGGTGGCTGCGTATCGCGATGCCATTGAAGAGACCCCTAAGGACGAGTGGGCAAAGTGCTTTTCCCAGTGGTTCCATCGCATGCAGCGGTGTATTGACGTGAATGGACAATATTTTGAAAAGATATAATAAAACTAATAACTGGCTAATGTAATCGGTTTTTGATTTTCTAAGAACTTTCAGTTTGACCCTCGTATGTCATTCCAGATGTATGCTTCGTTTGTGGATTAGTGGTCCACATTCACACTTTAACTGTAATCAATTGATTAACTGTAAATGGAGATAAAAACTTATTTCATGTGCAACGCAAAGCTAACTAATGAAGTGTTATTATAAATTAACATATAAAATTTCTTTGAAATGCAGATAAAAATGAAGATGAGGAGTTATTTATCTCATCTTGTGATTTAACAACAGCATCTAAATGTACACCTAACGTGATGAAAGGGTGTGTGATAAGGAATTACTCTTTATCAGAAGATTATAACGTCAGTGATCGATCTTTTAGTAACGAACGAATATCTTTTTGGAAAAAATATTTTGGTTGTATACCATGCATCCAAGGCTGGAATGATAACATCTGGCTGTTAGCAGTGCGTTGCACAAAGTTCGCTCCCGAGACATGTAATTCGAATAAATGTTGTTTTTTATTAGATAAGGTACGTAAAACTTGTAAATAGAAATATCAATTCATAATTATATAATTTGTAAATAACACATTAGATGTTACTCTTTGAATTAGCTCTTAACAAAGCGATCGAGAAGGATGCCAGCGACCGACGTATAAGGAAAATAAACACTACTCAATATAGTATTAAAATGTAAGTGGATTTTTGCTTTATTGTTAATTACTTATATCTCTTTGATACAAACACTAATTATAAATTATAATCATTATATAGCGATCAAAAAGACACAAATAATATACCCCGTCGAGGAGTAACGGGGGGAGGTGATCCTCGTTCATTATCCCCATCACGAGGAAGCATTGCCCGCACTTCATATAGCAGCGCCAAATCCAACGTAAGTACTTACGAATTACTGGATTACTATCCTACTAATTTTATAAATGCAAAACTAAACACTGTCTGACTGTAATACTTCCGAGCAGATTTTAATGAAATTTGGTGTAGAAATAAAAGTTAGAGAAATGATATGATGACCTTTTTCGGGACACAATACCTGGATGATTTTTGTACTTTTTATTAGATTACAATGTAATGCTGCAAATATTTAAAAAACTACGTATTGATAGATATACTAATTTTTACTTTTTATCATAGGATTCTGCATCAAGGAATAATTTTATAAGTTATCAACCTCATTTACCTACATTCAAAACATCTCAAGGTCCTGTTATTAAAACAATTAATGATGCACGGGTAATCACTAAAATTATATATTATTTATTAATAAAATCTTTTCGAGATAATTATATATTATTATTTATTTTTATGACAGAATTTCCTAATGCGAAATACCATTGGCAGAGAAGATCGAGGAAGGAATCTTAATACAACAGTCACGGCTTCACATTATCAAAAGGTTTCCCAATATTCTAGTGGAAGACCAGTTAATAATAATAATAATAATATTGCTCAAGCAACCCCTTTTTCGTATAGTGCAGGTTAGTAAAATTATAAAAAGCCTTTCCAAAATAACACAGGACTCATGAATAGAATACAATTATAATTACTTGATGAAGTTGAAAATACTGCTTTATTTTCCGGATTTGATAATAAAGCTTATAAACTTAGAAAAAATATTGAAAAATATAAACAACTGTCTCACGCAATACGTTCACACCAGTCACCGAATTATTTATATAGAATAACTGGTGAAAACTTTTTGACTACTGTCCCAATTTTCATACAGCATCTAGGAATGCAACACAACCGCAACAACGTCGACGGTTAGGGCGAAGCCCTAGTCCACCACCACTGAGAATGAATGAACAAAGCCGGGCCACAAACACTCCATCATTTGCTAGCAAGTTTTTAATGGAAGATACTTCGAAAACGGCTCTTAAAAAAGAACTGTCGCGCCTTAAACGTAAGTATTCTTTGAATTTTGTATGACAAAAATTAACAAAATCCTTACATATTATTTATAGCTTTTAGAGATCATAATAAAACAGATCCATAACTATAGGTGTACCAGAATTTGATGACAAAAAAAAACTTGTTTTCTGATTTCATATAGCACTATAAATGAACGTACCGTAGCGACATCTAGTTTGATTTCGGGAACTAATGTTTTGTTTTTAAATACTTCCTCATTAAAAATGAATTCGTACGAAGACTTGTCCTGATGCAATCTTGTCGCTTATCTTACTTCCCTGTGTTGTGTGGATGATACCATCTTCACACTGTTTTTAAAAATGAGACATTTTGCGTCCCGGCTCTATTTTAGGGACTCTGGGACAGACAACCGAAAAACGAGAAAGCTCGTCAGAACAGGACGTCCGGTCATGTTATCCAGACCATTTAATTTTCCAATATGGCAATAACCAAATCTAAGTTTGTATTGCGTACATATAGGAAAAACAAACGCCGATGAGTGGGTTTTAAAAATAAGTAGTCTTACCCCTACCCCTGTCGTTCATGATATTGCTCGCGCTCGCGTCATGTCGATTGTACACGTTTCATATAAACAAGTAATTAATGCAAAGACGTTTACCGCGTTTATGTGGGCAAGCTGTTTTCCCACTACTTCACCTGTTTAAATTATAGCCTATGTCACCCGCGCGTAATTTAGATTTTCGAAAGATTTTTTTAAATCCGTTCAGTATTTTTCGGAGTCTATTAGTTTGCAACAAACAAGAAATCAAGTCTCTTCTGTTTATAATATTAGTAGATATTGATAAGCCCAGGCGGTCTAGTTAAAGCTGTCAATGTAGCTCATTTATACATTTCTTTCTATTTTACACCCGTCGTATGTATGATTATGTAAAGCGCGTTCGATGGCCCCTAAAAGGATGCGTGCATCTAAAATCAGTTTTAATCGGTTTTATATAAAGTGATAATAATGTCCAGAGTTTATAATTTAAGTTTATAAAGTTTTCTCGATTGAAAAGATACTGTCTTAGTTGTTGTTATACTAATAATGTTTAGTATAAGACTTCGTTGTTGTAGATATAATATCGAGGGTTTGTTCGGCTGGTGTGTACGCAGCGTTATTGGACAGAAAGCATAGAAAAAATAATTGAATACCAACTGTCATTGTCATTTGTCATTTCATTTGTAGAAAAATGAAAAATAGATAACCTAGAATTTTAAACTAAAATTAATAAAATGTCTACAAAACGATGTATTTAGAATACTTTAAATGATTGTTCTCGTTAGTGCTAACGCCACTTAAGATGGGTGCATTAGTGACGCGGGCTTTGAGGCCCATCAGGTCGTTTAATATTGAAAACCGTGCTCACCGGGTGATATCAAAAGAGAAACCAGAGCCTGCTCCATCATATCCTCATGCTTTAGAAGATCTGAAAAGGACTTTGGAGGTAGTGCCAGATATAGACGAGAAACTCGACAAAAAGGATCCAGCTCTCGACGACAGACTTAAAAATGTTTATGTAACCTCACACGGAAAACCTGAGGCTGATTTGACACGTGAACAAAAGGAACAGAGCACAAACCGACCGTTACCTCAAAGCCGAACGTTAGTTGAAGACTTTGAATTGGGTTTTAAGGAGCCAGATCAGGTTAAATATGGTAGAACAACTCTCCGACATGCTATGAACTTTATTGGTGCTCATCAAACAAATCCAAAAGAAATTACGCCTATGAAAATAGCACTAGAATATAAATTAAGTGAGGATGATGTGCAAGATATATTAAAGTATTTTAAAACATTTGAGGTTTACATACCAAAGACAAAGAAAAGTGCTGCAGTTTTTGCCGGTCCCGCTACAATTAGGAAACAGAACGAAGAGTTTGATATGAGAGAGTTAGATTATACAAAAAATAAAGAGAGTACAATAGCTGATAAAGAGGATAAGGTAAAGGAAACATCATAGTTAACTTAATTCATCGTAATAAAACTATTTCTGATTCTTGGAGAGTTTATTAACATTCACATTGTTGATTGCTAAATCCAAATGTTAAATACTATTGAAAAAATTAAAGCTATTTGATTCATAAAAAATAAAAATGAAATTTAATAAAAAATGTCATTGTACTCTGTAAATGCAATATAACATTATTTATGTACATTGAAAAAAATTTAGAGTATATTGTAATAAATTATACTGGTAACAATATACAAATACTGTTAAAACAGACTTCGCAATTTGTAACAATACACAACTGATACTCGTCATGTACATTATTATATTTATCATGTTAACAGGTCCATAGCTTGTACCGATGTCATTTATGAGTATATATAAAATTTATATATTGACTTTATTAATATATTGATAGCAAATACAAGGAATCCTAATCTATTGGTTGAGAAGTCTTGTACTAAACTTTTAGAATGAACTTCAGACAGATCAATTGGAATATTACAATGTTTAGTGTACTTAAGTAGTGATCATAAAATGCTTTCTCCATAATGCACAAAAAAATAAATTAAAAAAAAAAAACAAAATCAAAAGTGTTTAGTGCAAATGATTACTTTTTAAATGATTACATTACTGTGAATCAGTTCATAGTAATTTTGAGAATGTGAAATCTGATAATATATATAGTATGGGTGCAAACTTATATAATTACAATTTAATTAAAATGGAAATGTGATTTAGTTTTAGTTGTTAGCGGAAATAAAACATTTTTGTTGAAGTAAAGTTTTTATTTACAATTTCATTGCCACTTGTTTACAGGTGCATGTAAAATTATACAAATGTTCAAATTCCACACTTGATTTTAAACCTTAACATATTGAGGGGTAGAGTTCAAAATCCATTGTGGAAATTTAACATATCGTGGTAGATTAATAGATTGGATAAGTACAATTAATAGCACATTAGGTAATACAAATATGTCAATTTTATTCAATTTATTTTAAACCTTAATGTTGAAAAGGGAGTTTGAAATCATCTGAAGAAATTTGACATATTGTGTTAGCCTGACATGCAGACGAATGTACAACATAAGGTACCTATTAAGCCTAACACTGACTACAGGCGCGCCGAGTAGAGTCGAAAGCGGACCGTTATACGTAATGTCACTGTAAAAATTCAAACCTCATCGCGTGATTATTCAATACGGCGCGCAACGTGTCGCTAATAGATGCTGTTATATAGTAAATGTATAGAAGCCAAGTTGACGCTTTTCTAAAAGCTTGAAAATTGCACAGGTTTACTTAATGGCTAATTTATATTGGTCGTAGGGTCAGCATGCGGAATGCGAGCGATTTCTGTAAGCTCAATTTAATTTGTTGGTAATCCGCATAAACCATTAGTACCGCGCATGCGAGTCCTACTGGCCAATGTAAACGAGCCAAATAACAGCTTTATTCGAGGTTGATCGTTAAATAATTCAACCTTTTATTTAGTGGTAGCGGCCAGGGACGGATCGATAGGTGCAGCTTCAGTAGGGGTCGCATCTTTAGGAGCCCGAAGGAATGCTCCCACACCGAAGCGAGCACCTAGCGTGCACTCTGACGAACGCCCGATGGCGACGCAAGGCGATTTACTGAATAGCATTAAAGTAAGAACAAGCCTAACATGCGTAGCATGCATTTAGTAGATAAAATATTTCTCGAGTTCGTGGTATGCTACGCGTGAGGCGGCGGATTTATAACGTCACTAAACTTACATTGATTTCCTTGACATTGGATTGAATAAAATGTATCAGAAAATATTATTCAGTGTAAGATATTTAACAACACTGTTTGTCAAAAGAAAACACCGTGTATATAATGCTGTACTGAACGTTGGGTGAATCAATGCCTTGTCATGGAAACCTATGTAAGTGTAGTAAGGCGTTAGACCCACATGTGGCAGGTATTAGCAAAGAGATTGAAATGAATTGGATTTCTATACCTACTCCTACTACGTTGATAATGATGAAAGTAACAGTAACAGTATATTTGTTGGTGGCACCTGTCAAGGATTTCTAACCAAATTTAGTGTGTGTATGTTAATACTACAAAAATAACATTTATTCGGTCCGCTTCATAATAATAATAATCACTTTATTTCTGTCACAATAGCTACATACAATCTTCAAACATGTAATTTCATTAGACCTAAAGCTAATTTATAAATGTCGTAGCCATCGTGAGAGAGCGAAACCTGTACTAGGATACCCTGTATGACAGCTTCGGCCCCCCACCACGGAATCATTAACTTATTATTATTTAGTATACATTTTATAAATTGTTAATAATTTTAAGAGTAACAATAAAAAGGCGTGTGTGTGTTTGTGTGTGTGTCATAGCCTCTGCCTTCTATGAAATCTATTAAAAAGAAAGGCGATATAAGAATTATAATTTAATATACAATTTGCAGTTCCAAAGGACGTTACGGAAATCTGTGGTGTCAGAGAAACGTAGCGGTTTGGTCCCCGATAAAATTAAGTTGGTACAATTTATTTATTGTCACTTAGTAAATTAAATCTTGTTAGAAATAAATCGATCATATGGAACTTTGGGTCAGCAACTATCATCAGTTTTTATCAGGTTCGGTTCCTGCCCGTGGTGATTGACTTTTTCCAAGATGTAATTTTGTCCAGTAATCTATACTAATATTCAAAAGCTGAAGAGTTTGTTTGTTTGTATGAACGCGCCAATCTCAGGAACTACTGGTTCGAATTGAAAAATTCTTTTTGTGTTGAATAGACCATTTATCGAGGTACTGCCGAAGAAGTCCAGTGGTCTGGATGTTAGGGCCAGAAGATGGGTCCGAAGTCAGAACTTCAGCACCCAGATGTTAGGTAATCATGAAGCTTCTCAGGGGTGGGAAGGAACCTCAATACGAGGATATCGCACTGTTTTTTTTTTTTTTTTTAACCATATGTGAAAACTTTTAAATGGCCTTCAGCATATATTGAATTGATATATCCTTAAACACAGCTGTAAGTTTTCTTTAAAATAAATAAAATAAAATAAAATATCACTTTGAATACATTAATTATAAAAACATAATTATTTAAACGTTAATATAAAGTTCGCGACTACAGCGGTGGATGCGGATCAGTGGCGGACTAAGGGGAGGGGGGAGCGGAGTGGGCGGTCCGCCCCGGGCCTCTTATCCTGGGGGGCCTCCAAATGGCTGAAAGTTCCCTTGATCAAATCATAAATTGGGGTTGCCGTATCTTTCTTAGTTTCGTAGTTTTAGCAGGCGTCTTAGCACCATTTGTAAAAAGTTGTAGGCACGAACCCAATGCCGCCCCGGGCCCCCGACAGGATTAGTCCGCCACTGATGTGGATGTGGAACATGTGGATGTTACGCTGCCTTCGGTTGAAATGTATCACAAGGAGCGCGTTCACGGGTTGTGTACCTTTCATAAAACTGAATTGCGTCTGCGACGCCGAGAACAATAGCTTCGAGCAAGACATGTTGTCAAGCCCGTCGCCGTTAATAGAGAAAAGAAGAAAAATATAGAAAATTATTGGTTTGTCAATCTTCGGACAACAAATTTTATAGTAATTGTTTTAAAAATAAATGTATACGTTTAATAAAATATAAACCGTTACATTCTTAAATGTATGACAAAACTCAATACTTACGCAAAATAATGTAGATTAATTAATAAATCGATGAGTGATTAAAACGAGTACAAATTGATGTTTTTTTTTTATATTCATTTAATAAAGCAAGTGTATTTTTTACAGTGTCAAGGAGAGAGGCACCATAAAAGATGTGAATTCGAAAACTAGTACTGGCAGTCGAGGGAATCGTCAAAATTATGAGAGTAGGCGAGTGTGATCTAGTATTATTATTATTAGTATTATTGTTTTAAATATTTATATAAATATGCATGAGATAGTTACCTTGGCGAAATATTAGGTACATCGGAACGTTGAGTGCGGCAGATCTAAAATTTATTTATTATTTTATCAAAAAAAAGCGTCGGTTTAGCAGCCGCAATCCCTTAAGCCGAATAATATAAATATTATGAAACTAAAAACAAGTTTCATGAAACTAATTTCGGCACGAAAAATTAGTTACGTGAATCTAGGTTCATCAAAAATTATGTCATGCATGAATTACACTAAACTACTTTAAGAACGTGAAACTAATTTAATGCAATAAAACTAGTGTCATGCGACTACTTTCGTAATGTAAATGCTGCTTTACTATTGTATAATGTCTACTACACACATGTCAAGTCATACGGGTTGATAACATGCAAGCACAGCTCAATTAATGCCGTCGACATGTGTGTAGGAGTCATAAGAAACGTATAATAAATAAAAAAAAGTAAATTGTATAAGAACAGCCTATAGTATAGCTGCTGCTAGTGTTTCGGTTATATTTAGTGATACTAATTGATTCATATGTGTACAGTGGCCAAAGGACTATAATGAATGCGACGTCTAGAAGTATCGCTGGCGTTGGATCACAGTTAAGGCAAACACCTAAAGGCAGACGCAATTTGCAAACCATGTATTATTGACGAGACTCACACCACCAACAAAACGCCGTTGGATAGTACATTTTAAATCAATTGTGGTTTTAGATTTTTTTCGACATTGAATTTATATTATGAACATGAAACATTCATCTAATAGTGTTAAATATTGTTGGCGCGTTATTTCTCACCAAATCTTCTTGTCATTGATAAATCATAATTGTGTTGTAGATTGTAACAGTGTAGAAGTCTTAGATAATGTTTACATTATTACACGAAGTTAATATTACCAACTCGTTTTTTTTATTAATTGTTAGCTTCAGTATTTACATTAAGACAGCATATTTAAATAAAGATTGCAATAGCTGGATTCCTCATCCAGTGGTAAAATATTTAAGAAAAATAATATTTTCGAAATCAAAATAGATGTCGCTTCTTGGTGGTGAGTATGAAAGTAAGGAAGTAATGATGTGCTGATTCGATTATTATAGACATCCATTATAGTATTACTCGTAATCGATTAATAATCGATACATGTCAATGATTACTAAATATTTTTACCTCAAAAGTTTATTAGTGATTTCTGATTAATTCGTAATACCGTATTTTAAAGCAATC